GGAGTTGTCTAAACATAAGGGGGTGAAGTGCCTATGAAAAAAATACAAGGGGGCAAAGTGCAAATGGCCCAAACCACAAGGGGTAAAACGGAATTTGCCTCCCCCCAATAAAACGGCAAGGCTTAAAACGACGTCGTTTTTAGGACTGGAAAGAGGAAGGAAAAGGGGGAAAGGCTTTGATCGTTTATTCGACTCTGTTCCCTTCCCTCCCAAGTCCCACAAGTCCAGCGACAGAGAGAGGAAGAAGATTTNATCCATCTTTCCCTCAAAACGATAATTTAAACAAATAACTAAGACAATACTGGAGCTAAGATCTAGTTATATCTAAAATTTGTTTTCAGCCCACAATCTTGAGCTTAAATCGATAAATCTTACAATCTTCTGAATAACCCACGCGTATCCATATTTATACTTTTATATCACTCTTAATATCTCTATTATTAAGTTTAATTCTCTAACCTTTAACTAAAATCACCAAGCATCGTAATAAATCACCAAAATGCCTTTAAATGTATTTTGTAACATGCTAAAGTTATTTTTCTCAAGGCTTCATCTCGATTTTATCTATCGAGATTCTTGTTCATCATGTGGTATTGTTTAGTGATAGTTAAGAACACGCGCACTTTATTATTAATCCAAAGTTTTTTTGTTTTGAATCTACTTGCACCAATTTTGTTTAACCAATAATCAAAAAATAAATCAATCAAAAGATGCAAGAATACGACAAACGCTATTTATATGATTAATTATTGCCCACGTGCGTAGCACGCAGGCCAAATATATAGAACAACTGTAAGACATTAAAATAATATCTATCAAATTGCATAATTTTTTGAGATAAAATTTACCAATTGTAAAAACCATAAGAATAAAAATTTAAAGACCTTAAAATAGACATGCTCATTGGTCAATTTGAAGACCATGTGTCTCTCCAAAAGAACTGTCATATAACTTTTTAAATAATGTTATTGAAATCTAATTTAAGAACTTAATACATTATAATATTAAGTATAATGGTGAGTCTTAATATTTAATAAACTCTACTATTTATCAAATGGTCACAAACCATTGAGTCTCAATCAATTAAATTTCAAATTAGGTACAACTAATATAATTGTTAACTTTTAAACATGTTTTAGATATGTTCAAATATGTTTTGAACATATTGATGTTATTTTATAATTTTTTTTAAATTGTAGGGTTATTTTGTTATTGTATAAAAATGTGTGTCGTTATGTAGTAAACTATAAGATCATAAATGGAAGATTGTTAACTCAATTTTATATATAAAAGAAATATTATTGATAAAATTAATTTGTAACTCTTTTAAATAATAAAAACATATCCGGGTCAATTGTCAGTAATAATAATTAATCGCATTCTCAATAAGAAGTTTTAATTATTATTTTTTTGTTTATGAGTATATCGATTTTTANCTGAGGCGGATTTTAAAATAATTTTAATTAAAAAAAATTAAAATGGTGTTTCCAACTTTTATATTTGTTGATTAACTCATCATCCTTAAATTAGTTTTTTTTTATATACAATCCTTAAATTAGTTGAAAAAAACTTAGAAAATTAGGTAAATTTTTTTGACTCTCCCTCGAGATTGACCTAATTACATGGACACTCCCTATAATTTTTAAAATGTCACTATCACCCTTGTTAGATTATGTCATTTAACAGACTAAATAGAGATGTGATTTTACTGAATTACTCTTCAAGTCATTAATCCTATTGTTTACCCTTGAGCTCCTTATAGTTTCTAAATTACCCTACACAAACCTCAATTAAATTTAAAATTTAGTTTCATTAAATTAAAATTAATTTGAACTTCAATTTCATCAAATTGACATTTAACATCATCAATTCAAGTATTAATTTCGTCACACTAACATTAACTTCATCAATTTAACACCAATTTAATATTTAATTTTATTAAATTAACATTTTAAAATTTAATTTTGTTAAATTAATATTAAATTTATTTTCATCAAATTAACTTTCAATTTTATTAATCAATTGACATTTAATTTCATTAATTCAAATATTAATTTCATCACACTAACACTAATTTCATCAATTTAACCCCAATTAATATTTAATTTTATCAAATTAATATTTTAAATTTTATTTNAAAATTTAATTTTGTTAAATTAATATTAAATTTAGTTTCATCAAATTAACCTTCAATTTTATTAATCAATTGACATTTAATTTCATTAATTCAAATATTAATTTCATCACACTAACACTAATTTCATCAATTTAACCCCAATTAATATTTAATTTTATCAAATTAATATTTTAAATTTTATTTTTAACAACTTAATATTTAATTCATTTAATTTATAATTTAGTAATGTAAAGAATGAGTGAGTACGACTAATTCAACACCACGAAAAAAGTCAACTATGGTTGCCCACTGATCTGATCATAGGTGAAATCCAATCTTGGCGCGAAGAGAAGGGATTGGTAGGGAAATTTTTCCAATCCTAAATAAGGTTTATAAAAAGATAAAATAGGTAGGGCTCAATTTACAAAGTAACATATAATTTTTGAATTAAACACATGTAACATTATAATGATCTCATGTTTCGATATACAAGTAGAAAATCCATAAAGGAAACCCCGCAGAGCCACAAAATTTTAGAAAAGTATGTATATTGACGCATTAGTATTTAAGAGCCATAAATATTTGAAATATTTGGTAAAGATATGTCAGATTTTCCCCAACTATACAAATAGAATTTAATTATACATGTCCTCCAATTATATCTTCTAAATCGTTTACATTAATGATCCATCTTTCCCTCAAANGCTGTTGAAAATAATAATTAAAGTTTCGTTTGGTAATTCATATATTTACTAAATCAGTTACAATAGATGACAGAGAAAAAATGGACATAATTGAAAGTGTCTAAACACATTGAGTTATGTTCAGTATATTTGGCTTTGTAATGGATATAATCCAAGTACCTTATATATTTATTCAAATGGACAACGAATATTTATATCTTATATAAGGATAAGAAAAATATTAATGGTGACCGTTGGTTTTATCATTTTAATTAGCATGGAACAAGAAAAATAAAAATATATCCAAAAATAACAACCTAACAGTTACGAGTCCACATAACAGTTACAATTACAAATAATATAGTAATAATGGCGTTATTTTAACTCTAAAAGGATATAATTGGTATTATTAGTTATTTTTGATATGGTTATTATAGTCGATCAAAATTTTTTCACATTTGTTGATATTTTATAGTAATAATATAGATATAGATTTGACAAATATTCCTTGTCTACATTTACGGGGAGTAATCTGACCACCTTCTTCATTATTGAGAAAAATTGAGTACAATGATACAAATCTCACCACTTAAATTTAAATATTCCAAACCCGAGTCTTTGACCCCTTATACACCACCTCACTCAACTCACCCACCCAATACTGTAAGGAAAATATAGTTTTTTATTTTCTGGATTCTCGTCCTTAATTTTGAAATTTGATGCTGAAACTTGAAAAATTGAAGCCTATATATAGGCATAAACTTGATGTTAATTCCATATTAGTTAAGGTGGCTAAGGTGTTTGATTGAAAACTGGAGGTTACATTGCTATACAAGGTGATCAATGCTGATGACGACAAGGGCGGGGAGACATTTTGGGGCCCTAAAGCATAAATAATAAATATGTTTTTTAATATTAATAATAAATTTATTTTTATTTTTTAAAATATAAAAAATATTAATTAATTTTTATATTCAAGTTTTTTTTTGTATCCTAGTCGAACTCTATGGTGAGAGAAAGAGGGGAAGGAATGATTTAAAAATTATTATAATAAATTTGAATTTAACTTTTTTCAAGGGTTAAAACTTATTTTTTGGTAGTTTTAGTTTTACTATTAAGTTTTTACTTTTTGTTTTCAAAAAATTGAATTTTAAATTTATGGGATGTTAAAATCTTTTGTTTTGACTTAAATTTAAATTTTTTGTTTGGGTTATTACTATACATTTAAAAATTATGAAATATTCCTTAAAATGGATCCTAAACCCAAAATTTATGGGCCCCGTGATTGGGCCAGCCCGGGATGATGATAGGACTCATGTAACTTTCAAATCCAATTTGTAATTATGGCCATTCCAGGTCCAGGCTGCCCTACCATTTGGTGATGCTAAGCTACACAAATTTGTAATTATGCTTTTTTATCCCTCTCAATAATTAAATCAATATGCTTTGTACATGTATGAATGAAAGGCTTGTATCCCATTGCTCAAAAACTAGCAAAACGATATTAATGCATGAGACATAATGAGATTATGTTTGATATGAAAATAATACGAGATTTATGAGGTATTAAGGATTTAAAAAACGATGGTATATTGATGAAATCTTTCAAGGGATCGATCCGGAAGCTATACGTATATTGTCTATTTTCTTTGTCAGTGAATGACTTCTATTGGCACGAGATATTTTAGATATCTCCCAGTATTTGCGTTTGATTTTTTGAAGAATTTAAAATATTTTATTGGACATCTGTATGCATATGCCTTGCATGTATATATAGTTATTTATATCTATATTTGTATCCTCCAAAAATAAAAAAGTAAAAACTATAATTATATAAGAAAATAATTCATGTGCAGCACAAGTATGCATCAATTAATATATATACTATTTTTAATTTTGTCCTTAATTTATAACCTAATGTCTATTCCACCCTTCTTCGGTAATTAAGTTAGCAATTGAAAAGTCAGTAGATAAACAAAGCATGTTAGACCCTACAAGTTCTAAACATTAATATTTATAGTTAACGGAGTTGTCTAAACATAAAGGGGTGAAGTGCCTATTAAAAAAATACAAGGGGGCAAAGTGCAAATGGCCCAAACCACAAGGGGTAAAACGGAATTTGCCTCCCCCCAAAAAAACGGCAAGGCTTAAAACGAAGGGAGAAAGGCTTTGATCGTTTATTCGACTTTGTTCCCTTCCCTCCCAAGTCCCACAAGTCCAGCGACAGAGAGAGGAAGAAGATTTTGTCTTTGGTCGACGTCGACTGCAAGGAAGCTCCTGTTCTGCGACTTCGATCAACTGCGACTGCAAGGAAGAAGGCCATACCAGATCCGCGACTGCAAATTCGAACCTCTCTAGATCTGCGACTTCTAACCTCGATCGAACCTCACCAGGTTCGTTTTCTTTTTTGGGTTAGGGTTTTAGGTTTTCAAAATTTGGGAGATATTTTGGGATTAGATATTTAGGGTTAACATGATTCTGCTGCATGCTGTATTTGTTTTGGTATATTATTATTTTAATTAATCGTATACTAATTGTACCCATGTCTTATGCTCCGTCTGGTACGATGATAAAAATGGAGTAATAAAAAGTTAGGTAAGTTAGATGGATGAAAAGTTGGAGGATAAATAAAATATTATGATTGGTAAAGAAGGAAAACATGAACGATGAAAGAAGGATAAAAAAGTAGATGAACGAATTTTTTTTTCAACTCACCAAAATTAATCTCTCCATCGGAAGGAAAGTAGATTTAAAATTAATTATTTGTGTTGAAATATATTTTATTTGTCTATATATTATTTGATATATACATATATTAATAATACGTTAATTTTATATATAAATACAATGATAAAATATATATTTATACTTTCAAANCGGTACGATGAAAAAAATGGAGTAATAAAAAGTTAGGTAAGTTAGATGTATGAAAAGTTGGAGGATAAATAAAATATTATGATTGGTAAGGAAGGAAAATATGAATGAAGAAAGAAGGATAAAAAAGTAGATGAACGAACTTTTTTTTCAACTCACCAAAATTAATCTCTCCATCGGAAGGAAAGTAGATTTAAAATTAATTATTTGTGTTGAATATATCTTATTTGTCTATATATTATTTGATATATACATATATTATTAATACGTTAATTTTATATATAAATACAATGATAAAATATATATTTATACTTTCAAAAAAAATAAAAAATAAAGAATAAAAAAATTATTTTTTCCATCTTACCAAGAAAAAAAAAAATTAATTATTTTTATTTTTCATCCATCCTACCAAACACAAAGAAAGAAAAGTGTATTATTTTTACTTTCCGTCCTTGAAAGATAAAAAGTGTATCTCTCCTACTTTCCATTATTCCTACCAAACGGAGTGTTATAGTTTAGAAATTTGCCATATCCCCAGTATTGGATATGACACCCGTGTCTGTATCCAAGCTTCAATAACTAATTCGTATGTTATTCCAATTTAGGATCTAAAGTTTTTTTCTGATGTAATAGTTTCACAGTTAGTTTCANCACAAAAAAAATTAATTATTTTTATTATTCATCCATCGTACCAAACACAAAGAAAGAAAAGTGTATTATTTTTACTTTCCTTCCTTGAAAGATAAAAAGTGTATCTCTCCTACTTTCCATCATTCCTACCAAACGGAGTGTTATAGTTTAGAAATTTGCCATATCCCCAGTATTGGATATGACACCCGTGTCTGTATCCAAGCTTCAATAACTAATTCGTATGTTATTCCAATTTAGGATCTAAAGTTTTTTTCTGATGTAATAGTTTCACAGTTAGTTTCATATTGTTATTGTCACAAATATAAGTTTTTTAGCATAATTATTATTTATTATTAGATGACCGGTCCAACCAATTAACTGAACTAGTGACCTATTGACCCGGTCTCTTTGCCGGGTTGACGTACAGGCCAGGTTTAAAATCTATGGGTGCACCCAATAAATTATCTAGAATGCAGAGTTATGAATTTGCTGAATTGTTCGTCTATATCAGAATTTTTTGAATTATAGTTAATTGTATGTGTTGATTGATTAAACATTTTCCTTTTTTTGATTTGATTTAGATTTGTGGTAACCGATGGCAGCTCCAGGGGGCCATAATTCACTCTCTGATAATATGCAAAACTTACAAATTAATCGGCCCAATAGGCCGGTGGTCAATTCCGGTGGCCCTATAAGGCCTCCTCCTCCCTTTGCACAACAACCCCCACCATTTTCCGGTGCGGCCCCTGTAACCCGACCGGGCTCACCAGCACCACCACCACCTGGTGTCTTTCTTAGGGCTACGGGGCCTCCTAGTGGTCCCCCTCAAACTACACTGCCACCAAATGTGGCTCCTAGATCTATGGTCTCACCTGTTACTCAGCAGCCTCCATCTTTTGCAGCGAGGCCTTCGCCTCCACCTCCAGCCCCTGGGTCATTTCCGTTACCTATGGGTGGTCCAGTTCCACCCCCTTCTGGGTCACCTCCTAATGCGTTCCCATCCGGTCCTCGCCCTGGGCCTTATCCAGTGACAACAGGTTCGGTGGTGTCTCCTGCAGGCACCATTCCGGGTTCGATTAGTAATGGACCACCAACCTTTGGGTCGGGGATGATGCAAGGTGGGCCCCGTTTTCCTTCTGCTGTCAGTACAACATGGTCACCCCCTGTTGGACCTTCACCACCCCCCACAATGTTAACGTCCAGGCCTTCCGGGGCTCCTCCCCACCCTCCAAGCATGAGTACTCCTTTTGGAAGTGGGCCTCCTAGTGCATCAGCAGGTCCTGCACAACCTGCCCCACCATTTTCAACACCACTACATAGTGTGCAGCCCCCTCCAGGTTCTTCACCATTTGCAGCACCACTTCAAGGTGTACCTCCATCTTCAGGTTCTCCATACGGGCCTCCAACATGGACAATGCAGCCGAGGCAGGTAAGTTTTTGGAAGTTCTTATTTTTTCCTTGCAATCATTTTATGTTGCAATCAAATTTATTTTGCTACTTTTCAATATTTCAATTATATATAACCTGAACTTGTGTGAAGTTTGAATTGTTGATTGATAGATAACCTATATGTTCCAAATGTATGATTAAGAATGTTACCTAACATATTTTTGGAGTTAATTGCTCTAGTGGGGAGCGACGAAGTTGATAGACTAAGAAAGGGATTCAGAGATCATTTGGTGAATATTGGGATTCGTGGTGGTTTTGGAAGTAGGGTTATGAGGAAATTTTAGTTTATGAATTGCTGCCACAATCATGGAATATAGCCAACAACAGTGTTATTTAAGGCGTAAAGCAAATCAAAACGAACCGGTCTCTTGAGGGCTAGAAGTAAAGCGAGCGCTTCATCGAAGCCGAAGAATATAAAAAATAAACAAATGTTTTAGTTTCNTTGCCACAATCATGGAATATAGCCAACAACAGTGTTATTTAAGGCGTAAAGCGAATCAAAACGAACCGGTCTCTTGAGGGCTAGAAGTGAAGCGAGCGCTTCATCGAAGCCGAAGAATATAAAAAATAAACAAATGTTTTAGTTTCTTACTTTGATTATTCCTAAATATTTAAGTTTTAACTTTACAAGTACAAAATATTTAAATGCAACCAAAATAATAAACATCCACACATTTTAAATTGACAAGATATTAAATATTGAACATTATTGCATTATAAAAATAATCAATTAATATAATCACGTCATCTAAATGTAAAACTAGCAAATATGAGTTCGATTTCTACTGTGATTGATTAATATCACCACTAAATAGAGTACTTACAAATTGATTAATCAAATAGAACATATAGCAAATTGATTAACCAAGCAAATTGATTAACAAGAACATTCACATCAAAACTGAGCATTCAACATCATCTAATCATAATAAGACAGATTGTCATATGATACTATTAGATGAATTAATCAATTTATTTTATATATACACACATATAACATCATCTCTGTTAGAGTTTGGTTAATATTAAGGAAGAAGAAGGAGGAGGGGGACAGAGGAGGAGGAGAAAATAAAAAAAACTATAGTCAGGCGTTCGCTTTTCTCGCTTCGTTGCTTAGGCTTGTTTTTTATGCGCTTTACTTAATCTCGCTTCGCCTTGATGTTCAAGGAGACCAAGACTCACTTTGCTTTGCTTCGCTTTTNAGAGGAGGAGGAGAAAATAAAAAAAACTATAGTCAGGCGTTCGCTTTTCTCGCTTCGTTGCGTAGGCTCGTTTTTTATGCGCTTTACTTAACCTCGCTTCGCCTTGATGTTCAAGGAGACCAAGACTCACTTTGCTTTGCTTCGCTTTTCGCCTAGGCTCGCCTTTCATAACACTGTTCAGCAGGGTGGATGGAGGTTGGGGGAGATGTCAATTTAGTGGTCTGTGTTGTTGGAAGATTGTTAGATTTTGATTACGTTTAATATGGTGGAAGTTTGTTGATGGTGAAATGAAAAGTGTCATGCAAGTGAAAGAAAATGTGAGGACACAAAGGTCAAAAGGCTAACACACTTTCNGGTTGGGGGAGATGTCAATTTAGTGGTCTGTGTTGTTGGAAGATTGTTAGATTTTGATTACGTTTCATATGGTGGAAGTTTGTTGATGGTGAAATGAAAAGTGTCATGCAAGTGAAAGAAAATGTGAGGACACAAAGGTCAAAAGGCTAACACACTTTCTGAATTAGATGAGTTCGAAACAACAATACTAAGTGGGACATTGTAGTCCCACTAATATCAGGTAGAACAGTAATATATGAGGTTCTTGCCTTCTATGCTTCCTTCGTAATTTGGGGATAACTGATAGTCTAGTTCAATTGGAATGGAGTTGGAGATTATAAAGAAGGTTCTCTTGATAGATTTGCTGCGAAGAAGGTATTCATGGCATTTCCAACTATAGTGATTAATAGGTTCTTTTTCTGAAAGTTTAGAGGTGCTTGGATTATGATGATTAAGAATCAGATTGGACATTCTTTAAGAGAGTCAATGATTCAAGACACTGACAAGAGACAACGTTTGATTGTTCTGAAAAGATCTAATGGAATTGGGTGTTGATGGACTTGGACTACATTTCTAAAAGGGATTGTAAGATTGAATCTTAGCTTTGATCCCTCTCACTTTCTCCCCCATCTCTGCATCTCTGAAGTCAATTGATTGTGATAATAATTGACTTTGATAATGGGAGAATAGCTAACTATTAGTGGCAGTGTGTTTGTTTCTTTTGGTTAATTAAATATGCGGTTGAAGCATTATTAAGATGTATATATTTTGTATATGATGTACAATACTTGTGAAAAGATGTTATTGGTATTTTTGTAAAAAATCATTTCTTGTTAAAAATACTAATTCATAATATCTAATAGGAGTGATAGTAAAAGTGTCAGAAAATAGAGGGGATGTCCCATGATAAACTAAACGTAACATTTCTTTTGTTAGCACTGTTAAGAGACAAACACCAACAAAAGGTGTCAAGAAGTTTCAGATAATACAAGGGGTGTCTCTAAATTTAAGCGTGACTACCTTGGGGGGGGGGGGTTGGGGATGAAATTTTCCAAAAGGAATTGTTAGTGCTATTACTAATGTTACTTTCATTTGTATTATCCCTAAAAAGGAGAATTCTTTGATGATTAATGATTTTAGGTTAATTAGTTTTGTTACTTGGTTGTATTACATTTTGGAAAAGTGTTTTATAGAAGATTATGGAAGGTTTGTTTGATACTATTTTGCGAAGGGACAACAAATTCTTATTGTTCTGCTAATGGACAATGAGGCTGTTGAAGAATGTAGGATAACTAGTAAGGGGGCATCTATTGGATCTAGTTTTAGAAAATAAAGGATTTGGGTGCAAATGGAGAAGGTGGATTTGCGGATTCTTGTCTTTGACAATTTTCGTTTTGGATGAAGAAACGAGAAGTGTTGTGGTGATTCTAGGGAGTTTAGGTCAGGTGATCTAATATATAATTTCTGTTTACTTTAGTGTTAAATGTCTTGGGTAGATCACTGGAGAGAGATAGGGAGATTGTTCTTGTTAATGGTTTTGTGGTTGGGCGATATAGCATCTCAATATCTCATCCATAGTTTGCCAATGCCACTATGTTTTTTTTTTTTAAAATAAGGGAATGTGTGGGACATTCTTACTTTAAAGTCCATTTTTCAAATAATTGAATTGATTTTGGATTGGAAGTTAATGAGTTGAAGTCCCATTGTTGGTATTATTTGCTGCATGATAAGCTAGATAGCTTGGTGGGTGTTCTGGGTTGCTCTCCGGAAAATTGGCCTTGTAAAATATTTGGTGCTTCCGTTAGGGCGAATTCTAGATATGAAGGTTTTTGGGGCCTTGTGACTGGTAACATGGGAACAGATTGTATGAATGGACGGAAGCTTTGTTATCAAAAGTTGGAACATGGACGCTAGTGTAGTCAATTTTATCCTGTATTCTTATCCACTATATGCCTTGTTTTACTATTCCTTCAAAGGTAGCAAGAGAATTGAAAAGTTGATGATAAAGTTTCTATGGGAATGGAACGGGGAAGGGAAAAGTGATCATTTGGAGAAGTGAAAAACTAGTTTTGCGACCAAGGAATAAAGTAAGTCTTGCATAGGCGGCTATTGCTAGAAATATTGTCTTTGATTGAGAAGTGGTTGTGGAAGTTTCATATTGAATTTCGGTTGAGGTATATCATCTTAAAAATAAGTGAGATTTATGGTGATGAATGAGATTCTCATAGTTGATTGTGGAAATTCTTAGAGTCCGTGAAAAGCTTTTCACCTCGCTCCCTAATAAAAGTAATACTAGCAATATCAGCACCAAGATAATACTAGCAAGTTAGGGCTGCTGGGGGAGTCTCCACTTGGATGAAGCTTTCCGTTTGCTGGACTCCCAAGTTAGCAAGGACTAAGGGGATATGCACATTGATTGCCTTCTCTTAAGGTATCCTCAAAGACCTTTTTTTGTATCACAACACTTGTCCGAGCATAAAGGCAAACATGACAGGAGGAGAAGTGCATAAATTTGATCCTCAGTGTGTTCAACCAAACTGCTTTAGGTTCATGTACATAAACTTTTTTTGTCATTCTGCTCCATGCAGAGCCATATTTGACATTGCCTTTGAGGATAGCCCACTGCTTTTATTTTTTGCGATCTCCACCTTGTACCTTGAGAAATTTGACAGGAGTGTGAACTGATACAAACAAAGGGGGAGAGTAATTATGTGTAAATATGCAATTCTATGTTTCTTTGCTATTTGCAGGTATAACTGGTGTTTTCATAAACATTTTATGCTGGCCTTTTAATTGTTCTTGTAACTAGTTCTCACCAGGAAAAAAATCTGAACCTTTCCTTCTTAGTGCATTATTCTATTCTAATCTTGAATTTTGAAGTTAAAGTGACTTTTGTTTATTTATGCTTAGTGATTTCAATTCGACGGATGGTGTTTTTATTTTCAGTGTCTGTAGTTTTGTAGTATATAAATTCAAAATAAAGCCCAATAAGTATCCACATTTTTATCTCGATTCTGGATTTTCTGAATTTAGTGTTTTCTTTAGGTGGCCCCACCTCTACCAATTCCTGGTTCTTCTCAACCACCAAGGATGTTTGGAATGCCACCTCTGCCACCTCAAAATCAATCTTTGGCTGATATACCACCTGCAATGGGTCATACGGGAGCTGCAGTAACAGGGCCATCGAAAATTGATCCAAATCAAATTCCGCACCCTATTCCAAGTTCCTCAGTAATTTTGCATGAAACTCGTCAGGGCAATCAGGCCAATCCTCCGCCGGTAATTTTCCTGAACCTTAGCCTGATTCGAAAAGGAATTACTTTGTTGTGTGTGATCTGCTGGGTTGAGTTATTCCTCGTACACCTTTAGTAGTTTTAATTTCCATTTATTTAATGTTAGCTGCAATGTGTATGTCCAGGCCCCAATATGTTATAAACATGCATAAGCCTGCCTTGATTTGGTATACAGTGAAATCTAAGGTTTTGGATTATATGTCACAGATAATCTGATCTTTTCTGATTACTTGTTTTGTTTTCAAGCCGGCTACAAGTGATTACATAGTCACGGACACGGGGAATTGCAGTCCGCGTTACTTGAGGTGTACTATCAATCAGGTCATGATCAAGTATTTATAGTGCATAAATTTATCATTGTTTTTACATCCAAGGTCACTCTCTTTTTGCTGTAATTGTTTGTGTGATTGTATAAATTAGTTCCCTACTTTGTCAGAGCTATTATGGGGGCTAAATTTGATACTGGTTTTTTTTTTTCCCTTCCTGTTGTTTTAACAGGTCCCATGCACCGCTGATCTTTTGACCACATCGGGGATGCAGTTGGCTTTATTGGTCCAACCCTTCGCCCTTCCTCATCCATCCGAGGAGCCTATTCAAGTATTGCGTGGATTTCTTTTCTCTCTGATCATTCGTTATGGCCTATTTTGTCCTCCTAAACACATATGTATTCTATACGGTTGGATTTATAATTTGTTTTTCTCTATTTTCTTTAAGGAGTATATCAATTGTTCAGCACTAATTACTATGCATTAAGTCATAAAAACAGTGTCTTGCAAATACTTGTACTTAGCACATACTTTACAATTATATGTTTTGGATGTGCTTACATTAATCTTCTCAAGGTCTCTATTTTAGACAGCTGGTTGTTCGACTTCTTATTTTTTGGGCTTCCTTAGTTCATACTGTACTGGAAATTACTGTGACTATCGTCCAGATTTTCTTTATTTTGCAAATAAGAATATAAGACAAATCCACAAAAATCTGAGTTACAAGGCTGAAATGGAGATACATGTATTTATGCCGAATAATAGTTTAGCCTGTATTTGTTGTTTTTTAACTTATAGAACGTGATTCTTGATTTTGTAAACATTAATGTTTACTTAGGTTGTGGATTTTGGGGAAAGTGGTCCTGTTCGATGTTCTCGTTGCAAAGGCTACATAAACCCTTTCATGAAGTTTATTGATCAGGGAAGACGTTTCATATGTAACTTTTGTGGTGAGTATCAGTTTTTCTGTCTTGTCCTCCTACACTAGTAGTATTAATGTTTAGGTTTTATATGCATCTTTTGTGGTCGAGACAATTTTACTGTTAGCAATGATTAGGTATTAAATTGGGGATAACCAGCATTCTTTAGCGTCATCAACTGTTAAATAATTTGGAAGTTACTAGATTCAATTCATATAATTTAAATGGTGTTGCCCTTGATGCTAAGAGCTTCTATATTTTAATGTTGTAGTTATTTACATTAGAACTACAGATTTTTGGTTAAGTCACATATTATTTGAGCATGGTTTTGGCTTTATATGCTGTATTTATCAAGGTCTGTTTTATTTGTAGGATTTACGGATGAAACTCCCCGCGATTATCACTGCAACTTAGGTCCAGATGGTAGGCGCAGAGATGCAGATGAAAGGCCTGAGCTATGTAGAGGAACTGTCGAATTTGTTGCCACCAAGGAGTTCATGGTTAGTAACAATAAAGTTTGCTTGGTGTGTAGTGGTATCTTGTTTGCACCTTTTTTCTTTTTCCTTTTTGTTGATACATCTGGTTGCCCTTTGTTATGATCATTGAAGTGTCCTTCTCTATTTATTGTTTCGACGCTAGAATTACTAGGTCTTTGAGAAACAGAAAGTTTCTCAATGGATCTAGTTACAGAGCTACCCAAGGAAAACATATTCAATTTGGATTGAAACTAGGAACTCATGAGATTTTAATTTCAAAGAAAAAAGGTTTTGGATAGCAACAAGCTCTGCAAATACAATCTTGTCCATTCTAAATAATGCCCAACTTATTGTTAAAAAGAGTGAGAATCATTAGTACCCATTGTTAATGGCTTATTACCAAGTCTCATGTAATCTTTATCGATAAGCTGACAAAGTACCCTAACATGCTTGAACCAAACAAACAAGGACACTAATCAAACAATAACTGTAGTAATAAATGAGTGGATGTTGGTTTTTGTCTGTTACGATTCATCCATGTGGGACCCACTTCTGGTACACATTTTTTTTAATCTTCTCACTCAATGCCCTATGCACCTTTCTGGATTTCTAGACTCTTCCTTTACCCCTCTCTCTCTCTCTCACACACACACACCTTCACTACCACCGGCCGACAACTAACTAGCAGCCCACCTACTCACTTTTCTGTACTCTCCCTCTCTCATCTCAAAAACAACCACCACAGCCCAACAACCCACCGCCTACCATCCAACTCCAACTCTCTCTCTCTCTCCACCCTCTTCCCAGCCCCGAACCCGAGAATTCCAAAACCCCCTCCCCTAACCAGCAAAATCGCAATGGGGGTGCTCCATGGTTGCGAACGATAAAGTAGTACTAACTGGTTAGATTTTCTTCTGGAATATTGCTTGGAAGATGATTCTAAGAAGTTTTATGTTTGACCATCTCAAATGTTTGTCCGAATCTCCTGTAAATTTAATGTAAGATNAAGCATTCTTTAGCGTCATCAACTGTTAAATAATTTGGAAGTTACTAGATTCAATTCATATAATTTAAATGGTGTTGCCCTTGATGCTAAGAGCTTCTATATTNTGGAATATTGCTTGGAAGATGATTCTAAGAAGTTTTATGTTTGACCATCTCAAATGTTTGTCCGAATCTCCTGTAAATTTAATGTAAGATCGGATGTTAGGTTGCATTGATAAAGATGAATCAAAGGTTGACGGAAGAAGGGTGGAGCCAAGATCTCTTCACAGGGAGGTTGTGTCATGGAGCTCTGCGGTTGTGAGGATTTTCATTATGGTTTGAGGGAGAAGAGGTGGGTGTTGGTGGTGGCAAAGTATGGTTAGGGAAGGGGAGGTGAGTATTTGTTGTGCACTTGTGTTTGTAGTGGGATGTGCTGTGGGTGGTCAATGGGATGGGCCATGGTGGATGTTGGTTTAAGGTGCTGTGGTTGTGAACTGTGGAGAGAGAGAGAGAGAGTCCCCATGCTGGATGGTGGGGCCATGGTGTTGTTTTTGTGTGGAGAGAGGGAAGGAAGAGGATTGAGGAGGTGGGCCGCTGTTGGCGAGTTGCTGGTCAGCGGTGCTGTGTAGCTGTGTGTGGAGAGAGAGAGAGAGGAGTCTGGAAATGTGAAAAAAGAGAGAAAGATTGAGGGGGGAAGAGTGTGGATTGTGCAAAAGGGACTCTGATTGAAGAAGAAAAAAACAGACTTCGGATAAAAAAAAGGACAAAAAATGAAAGAAAGCGTGAAGCAGAGGCATAAGAAAAATGTGAAGGTGTGATATGACGTTTCAATTATTGTTGCAGCCATCTAGATATCTATATGCAACTAGTCACCCTTCTATAACATGTGCACATTGCTGTTTGCATCTGTTTACATCTAATATGGACCTGGTAATCAGTTTTAATCTATTAAAATCATGAATATGTGTAATTTTTTATTCTATTTTATTTTATTATTTTTATAATCAATGACTAGAAATTAAATTAATTGAATATCTCAATTCAACAAATCCTTCGAATCAGACTATTATGCATCCAATTCAATTAGGATGGCTTAAATGAATTTGGATTGCATTCAATTTGAATGAGTAAATTTCAATTCACATATGATTAAATGCATTTAGACTTGGATCAATTTTGAATAAAATTCGATCTATTGATAGGCTTATGTATCGCTGGATCGTACGACTTTGAGATTTTGTGGGGTCCTTTATAAAAGTATGTATATCGAGAGTTGCCTTTAATGTATCGCGATATGTTAAGACTATTTTGCTGGTAACTGTTTGGATTAATGGATTAAGATCCCGATTTATTTTTATCAATTTTTTATGAATTAAAAAGGGATCCACTCTACATAAGTGAACTTCTATTAATAAATCGTCATTAATATATTTTTCAAAAGTATTAAAAATGTGTTGATGAGATTCAGAAACACAAATTAGGTTGAAATTCCTTGATAAGGATACGTATTAGAATTCAATCAATGGTGAGTTTTTGTTAGGTTCATAATCAATATAAGATTACCGGTCATAAATTTAGATATAATTTCTCAAATTTATCACAGAGAAAACATGAAAAAAAATACTATTAGAAGAATCTTCATTCCCATCTTGTCAAGGGTGATAATTTATTACACCACTTGAACTCTATACAAAACTATTGTGTTTAAATTAAGATTGATGTTGTTTGTATTGTAATGTATTGCTAGTGAAATTCATTTACTAAGTATGTCATGTGTGTATTTCTAATGTCAATTTACATGATATACCTAAGAATGTGACTTGTTCAATCTTTAAATTATTCAATTAGTAAATTTCAAAATAATTCAACCCTAAGTGATTTATTGTAGTGCTATACATGCTAGATCACTTTTTCTAAGAACAATGCAACTTTAAAATTGATATTTTGATATGAGTAATGAAGAATATCTGTCTGCATTGATAATTATGTATACCTTGAATGAACAGGAAGCACCCAATGTAGGGCACCAGTTATGGTATTGGATCGGTACCATATCTAAAAATAATTTCAGATAATAAGATAAAGAGAAATAATGAAAATGATGTCGAAAAGTAACAATTTTTTTTTGGATTAATTACACCACCCCTTGAGACTTGTTACAAAATCACATGGATTCCCTCTTGTTTAGAAATAACATGGTGCNTTTTTGTGTGGAGAGAGGGAAGGAAGAGGATTGAGGAGGTGGGCCGCTGTTGGCGAGTTGCTGGTCAGCGGTGCTGTGTAGCTGTGTGTGGAGAGAGAGAGAGAGGAGTCTGAAAATGTGAAAAAAGAGAGAAAGATTGAGGGGGGAAGAGTGTGGATTGTGCAAAAGGGACTCTGATTGAAGAAGAAAAAAAAAGACTTCGGATAAAAAAAAGGACAAAAAATGAAAGAAAGCGTGAAGCAGAGGCATAAGAAAAATGTGAAGGTGTGATATGACGTTTCAATTATTGTTGCAGCCATCTAGATATCTATATGCAACTAGTCACCCTTCTATAACATGTGCACATTGCTGTTTGCATCTGTTTACATCTAATATGGACCTGGTAATCACTTTTAATCTATTAAAATCATGAATATGTGTAATTTTTTATTCTATTTTATTTTATTATTTTTATAATCAATGACTAGAAATTAAATTAATTGAATATCTCAATTCAACAAATCCTTCGAATCAGACTATTATGCATCCAATTCAATTAGGATGGCTTAAATGAATTTGGATTGCATTCAATTTGAATGAGTAAATTTCAATTCACATATGATTAAATGCATTTAGACTTGGATCAATTTTGAATAAAATTCGATCTATTAATAGGCTTATGTATCGCTGGATCGTACGACTTTGAGATTTTGTGGGGTCCTTTATAAAAGTATGTATATCGAGAGTTGCCTTTAATGTATCGCGATATGTTAAGACTATTTTGCTGGTAACTGTTTGGATTAATGGATTAAGATCCCGATTTATTTTTATCAATTTTTTATGAATTAAAAAGGGATCCACTCTACATAAGTGAACTTCTATTAATAAATCGTCATTAATATATTTTTCAGAAGTATTAAAAATGTGTTGATGAGATTCAGAAACACAAATTAGGTTGAAATTCCTTGATAAGGATACGTATTAGAATTCAATCAATGGTGAGTTTTTGTTAGGTTCATAATCAATATAAGATTACCGATCATAAATTTAGATATAATTTCTCAAATTTATCATAGAGAAAACTTGAAAAAAAATACTATTAGAAGAATCTTCATTCCCATCTTGTCAAGGGTGATAATTTATTACACCACTTGAACTCTATACAAAACTATTGTGTTTAAATTAAGATTGATGTTGTTTGTATTGTAATGTATTGCTAGTGAAATTCATTTACTAAGTATGTCATGTGTGTATTTCTAATGTCAATTTACATGATATACCTAAGAATGTGACTTGTTCAATCTTTAAATTATTCAATTAGTAAATTTCAAAATAATTCAACCCTAAGTGATTTATTGTAGTGCTATACATGCTAGATCACTTTTTCTAAGAACAATGCAACTTTAAAATTGATATTTTGATATGAGTAATGAAGAATATCTGTCTGCATTGATAATTATGTATACCTTGAATGAACAGGAAGCACCCAATGTAGGGCACCAGTTATGGTATTGGATCGGTACCATATCTAAAAATAATTTCAGATAATAAGATAAAGAGAAATAATGAAAATGATGTCGAAAAGTAACAATTTTTTTTTGGATTAATTACACCACCCCTTGAGACTTGTTACAAAATCACATGGATTCCCTCTTGTTTAGAAATAACATGGTGCTCTCTCAGGGTTTGCTTCGGTAGCACATAGCCCCCCACCGTTAAGATTTGTTTTAGAAGTTGTCAAACTGTAATAATATCAGTTTATGTTTATCACAAAATTTCAAAACTGCCTCTATGCTGCCCACCACCATTCCAGATAAAATATCACCTAAGCCCTAAGAAGCATGGACACAGGACACGGATATGACACAATACGGACGTGCCGACATGACATTTCTCAAAAAAGTAGGATACGGAAACATTGGAGACACGTTTCAAAAAATTATATTTTATATATAACATTAATATAATTTATNGTGCCGACATGACATTTCTCAAAAAAGTAAGATACGGACACATTGGAGACACGTTTCAAAAAATTATATTTTATATATAACATTAATATAATTTATTGTAAATATAGTAATAATGATATACAATTTATAAAAGATTCAGTATTTTATGATAAGTAAATCTTATGCCTAATCATCTATGTGAATTTTTAGACTAAAGCATCCTCTTAATAGTCAATAATCATCAACTTTTTTTTTTGGTAGACAATGTGTACTTAATATATAATTTAAATAGTTGCTCTCATTTTTTCAATTACTCTTTTTTAAAACTTTTATGCATCTTTTATTTTTATTATTATATTTGAAGTACAACTTTAATATGTCTAGTGTTGATAATTATATTTTCTCAAATTTTTAAGCTTTGCTAATCACATTTCAACACANTTTTTGTAGACAATGTGTACTTAATATATAATTTAAATAGTTGCTCTCATTTTTTCAATTACTCTTTTTTAAAACTTTTATGCATTTGTTATTTTTATTATTATATTTGAAGTACAACTTTAATATGTCTAGTGTTGATAATTATATTTTCTCAAATTTTTAAGCTTTGCTAATCACATTTCAACACATGTTTATTGTTTAGTAGTAGAGAAGTTCTAAAGAAGTGTCAGACACGTCACCAAAGAAGTGTAGGACGCGTGTCCAAAATTAAAATTTTATCATTTAATTATGGATACGGATAAAAGAGTATCGGACACGTGCTCGAGGGTGTCTGAAGAGTGTCGGTGTTCGACACAGATACGTCACCTTCTCGAGAGTGCCCGTGCTTCATAGGTTATGCCCAATAACTTTGAATTTCTGTAAAATCCCTAAAAAAATATCAGTTCTTTTCTTGAATGCCCCATTGCTCATAGTGACAAGCTAAATCTCAAAATCAACACCACTATAGTTTTTTTATCACCGTTGTTGGAAAAAATCACCATGTCTATTTATAAACAACTGGGTCATTATTTTCTTGTGGGACACAAAGGCCTTAACAATTACCAAATATCTAAAAAATCCTCCACTACAATTTAGAAATACGGCTGCCCAACCGCACTACCACCCATCACAAAAAACACAACCACTATCCACATAAATCACTATTGAATATCACATTCCCATCACCACAATTTCCCTAATTTAAGCCTCTAACAACCATCCTATATCCCTTTCTTTGCTTAGTACTCTTTGAAGTAGCTACAAAGTAAGATTTAATACAACAGTTGACAAGTGAATGTTTGACATTAGTCTAGAAAATGCTACTCTCTCATGGGCTCTAATTAGTGTGCCTTGCACGCGGCCACTTCACTAGGTTTATCAGATATGCACATGCCATTGGACCAACCAATTTTCATGGAGTCCCAATTGGCCGAAATCTTAGTTTTAGGCCTCAAAAGTTGAAGTCTTATGTCACTGGCAGTTAGCTTGAGTTGCCACTCTAAGAAGAGGAGGCATATAATCAAGGTGTATTTGTGTTTGTGTTTTGCATATAGAGAGAAAAAAACAAAGAATTAGAATTTTGGTCGACGGAACCAGAAAAAAGAAACATGTGGATGAACTAGAACTGGCTGGTTGCCACAAATTGTNCAAAGAATTAGAATTTTGGTCAACAGAACCAGAAAAAAGAAACATGTGGATGAACTAGAACTGGCTGGTTGCCACAAATTGTCCAATGTTATGGGGAATTCAGATTGTTTGGCATGTGGAACATGGTGAAAAACAATAGTGTGGGTGCTTTTGGGCTCTAATTTGTGTGGGTGCTTTGGTGATTTTAGTTTTCTAAATAGATGATTAGTTGCTGAACGAAAATTACAAGTTTTGTGTTACCAGTGTTGCAATCCCTCAGAAGTACCTTGGGGACTTTTGTCTTTGTTCAATAATTTTTCTTTCTTTTTCTTTGTTCTCCCTAATTTCTCCTTTTTCTTGCAGTACTTCTCTTTTCAAGTGCTGCTTCTCCGCATTTCTTCCTCACCTTACATATAAACCAAACTAAACCAAAGCAAGCCTTATGTTTCAATCATTTGGGGTCGACTAATATCATTGTTTGGACTCATCATAGTGGATCCGACAAAGTTTTGCGCCGACTTGGGACAGACAGTGTTGAATACAACACTGACGGAGTTACCTTACATATCTCTTCTCCATTTTATCATACTTCAACTTCCATACAAGGGATCCCATTTGGCTACTATTTTTAAGCATACTTCAACCTTTTNCGACTTGGGACAGACAGTGTTGAATACAACACTGACGGAGTTACCATATCTCTTCTCCATTTTATCATACTTGAACTTCCATACAAGGGATCCCATTTGGCTACTATTTTTAAGCATACTTCAACCTTTTGGTATGAGAGCAGATTTTGGTGCAATCAAGCCATGGTTGAGATCAAAACAGAACATTATATTATTTTAGCTAAACCCCTGGCTGTTTAGTGGAGCAAAACTGGTTTATTTCTTTCAAAAATTTACTGATTACTGGACCACTTAAGTCTTTAAACTAAGGGACAACCTAAGATACTAGTTTTGCATCAATACCAAAGCAAGGCAATACTCGGCCTCAATAGCAATTTGCACTCGAAAATCCTCTTCCAGAGCCAACTAATTGATCCTTCACTAATTTAAGGTTGTAGAGTTCTCATTACGACATGCCTTCTAAAAGCCTTTCATGAAGACAGTAAACTGATGCAATTTGAGGTGTTGAACAATCCAATATTGGTGGATGCATTAGAGTCTGATGAAGTCTATTTACTATTCCAAAAGATGTTGAAGGCAAAGGAAAAGAAGATATTCGAACTCAGTAGTTTTGGAAATGAGAAATTTGGAAACTCCAGTGGTATTCAGGAGTTATTTTGTTGACCAGAGCTATTTTTGTAATTTTGTTGTTCCATATATATTCTTTTTTTATAAAAAATAATTTTAGGCATCATCTAGTTGTCATTTAACTGTTGCTAAAGAGTTGCCACCTACTTGGTTGTAAGGCAATGAGTTATCAATCATCTAGCTCTTCTTGGTTGGACAACCAACTACTTAGGTTGCTTGCTTGTCAAACCAATGAACTACTTTTGGATAGGGCTGTAGAAGAAGCAAGCAACTCGAGCTTAGTTCGCAATTTGCTTGATGAGATGCAGACTCGATATTGACTTGTGTGTTAAATGAGCCAAGCGTGAGTATGTTTTAAAGTTCCTAAAATTATTAATCTCGACTCGAACTTGGCTTGATAAGTTAATAAAATCACATATTGTTTAAAAAGCCAAGCTATGTGGGCGATTGGGTGTTGCCCGCGATTGGCTTGATTAGAAGCTCACTCGAGATTGACTCGTGAGATAACAGGCCAAGCTTGATATTGATTTTAAACTCCTTAAAAGTTCCAAGCATTGCTTATCAACTCACTACTTGGATGGAATTGGCTTGTTTACACCATTTCTTTTGGACACTAAATAAGTCAATTTCCTAATTTGGCAACTTTTTTTAAAGTAAAATTGTATTCGTTGTCTGCTGCTACTCAAGTAGAATCCTCCACTGCAAAAGGTCGTATGTTCATTTTGGTAGGGTAACTTTCTTGAATACTGTAAGCTATGTGACTATGTGNATATTCGTTGTCTGCTGCTACTCAAGTAGAATCCTCCACTGCAAAAGGTGGTATGTTCATTTTGGTAGGGTAACTTTCTTGAATACTGTAAGCTATGTGACTATGTGTCATTTTCAAGTGGAGTTTTAGTGGTGCAAATACTAGGTGGGTTTTCTCTCGCCTCCTAAGATCATCTATATTCATATTCTTCTTCTTTGTCTTTTTTTCATCTTCTTGGTTTCTCCTTCTTATTCAAGTACTTCTCTTCTCTAGTGCTGCTACCCACTTCTTTTCTTTATCATATCTCTTGCAAAGAATCATTTCCAGCACCATCCTTGGAAGATATTCCTTAATTTTTCTAGGGTGTCCCTATGTGCGAAAGTTTGGACTCTTTTTAACTGAACAATTTTTTAATTATTATTCCAAAACTTGGGCAATAGTTTTTCCCCATCGAATGCATTTTATGTAGATTCCATCGAAAATTTTTACTTTTTCTTTTAGTACTTGTTGGAATTGTCAGACAATCCCTTGATATTGTTAGAATGGCCAAGTGCCCTCTGGATATTGATGGAAAGAAAATATGAACTTTTTCTTTCAAGTGTTCAGTCTAATGTGCTTTGGCTCCATTGTGATGTATGTTTAAACCTTATTTCCTTATCTTATTGGCTATTAGATTACGATTTATTATTAGTCCATGTTTATCTTAGTTTTCTTCATAGATTAGAAGAACAAAACTTATAAGAGAGACAACCATAAGTTCCTTTGGATTGACAAGTTTAGCGGGACAGAAGTTTTCCATGTTTTGTTACTTGTACCACTGACACTGGGATCAAATAAGCCTAGGCGTTTCACAATCCAGGGTTGCATGATCCTAAATGGGTAGGTTCCCGACCTAAATCATCCAAATTTTTGACCCCAAATTGTAAACTTAATCCCAAATCGACCAGTGGTCCTAGTAATCCCAAAAATTCTAACCATAGCCCCATATTGTAACCCTTGACTGGTGCTTTTCTTTTTAGGAAGGTAAACTCCAACAATTACTTTATTTCTTTATTCTAGTGATCTTTGAATTTTCTTTTTTGATTTGCAGTGATTTCAAGTTTATTGTATGCATGCCAACTAGGCGATATGTTGTTTCTGATGATAGTTCGCTTTGGAACTCTATCACAAATTTTAAAAACATATTAATGTGTTTGTGTATGTGGATATTGAATTATGTGTAATGCCATGTAATAGTGGAAGCGATCCGAATTAGATTTCCTAAGCGAAGCATGATCAAAAACAATATACCAAGTCTACCCCAATTGCACTGTATATCGTAATATTGTACAGCGTGTGTGCGCCTATAGTAAATTGTCACACGATCTAGATAATGCGGGTGTTCTCCTTCTGGTTGTAATTGTTAGCAGTCAATGTAAAGGTTGTATTTTTGATGAAAAATGTGCCTTTTTAGTCAGACTTGTATTTATTCCTTCTCCATTCTGTATCTCACACGTGGAGTGCATGATCACACTGATGGGATCTTTTTGATGTATGATCCACATGCACCAATTCACTGACCGACTCGTGCTCTTTTCATTAAGGTTTTTTCTTCTGTTCTTTTATTTTTGGGCTACAGGGTAAGTGAATTTTCACATTTGCATCTTTTTCTTCAGGTGCGTGATCCGATGCCTGCTGTATTTTTCTTCGTCATTGATGTATCCATGAATGCTGTCCAGACTGGTGCAACTGCTGCAGCTTGTAGTGCAATCAGCCAAGTTATTGCTGATCTTCCAGTAAGTGAACGTCTACTACAGCCTTGGGAAGTATTTAATTATTCCCTTGTTTAATGCTATATTGGTTTGATGATCTGGAATTTGGGGGATAATTTAAATGAGCATCTGCAAGAGAAAGTGTGGAACCCTATGTAATTAAACAATATAAGTGGTGCCAGGGTTATATTCTATTATGTCAGAAATTTTAATATCTGATTAAATCTCTTTTCGTTTTGGTGTATTGTTTTGGTCACCTAGAAAATAAAAACGTTTTGACCTGATTCAGAAGTAAAATGAAAAAAAAAAAAAATTTAAGAATTATTATTTCAAAATACTTGGTCGAAATATACCAAAGTATCTTAAAATACTTTGAAACGTTCCAAAATAATTGTGCAAATACATTGAAATATTACAAAGCACCTTGAAACGTTAAGAAGCCCCTTGAAGTATTAGAATTTTGATTTTATCACTGTTTCATTTCGCTCCCGTTGGAAACGGAAACGTTTTGGAAGGTTTGAGCGTTTTAAAACAAAATTTTGATCCTTGGTGTAGGTTTTGCTTTTAAATTCACTTTAGCAGTTGGATTGTTAGGTAGGCTCAAGCTCATCCAAAGGTGTTGGCGAATAAAGCAACAGCTTCAGAGTCCACGTTACAATCCAACATAGGTCCTATGACGTTCATTTGCTTAGTATTTCTTGCTCCTGTTTTTATTATCTCATTTGTTTGCATTCTAAGTTATATAAAGTGTATCAATCATGGACTATATGCCTCCACAAGAATGCTCGAGTCTGCCTTCCCTTCTCTTTTTGTAAAATTAAATGTACCAACAATGAGTAACCTAGTTTGCAATATGTATTTGTCCGACATGTCTTTTGTGCTAATGTGTTTGGATGTTGTCAGAAATAGTTATTTTAAGCAATATTTCTATTGGTACCCATTCTTTTGGTATGTCTCTAGCTTTTTTGTAAGGGACTTGTAGGTTTGTTTGTTTTGAAGTGATTTACTTTGATTTAGTTTGTTTGTTTAGGACTGAAGGACCTTATGGCTCCTCTTATTATATTATTAAGGTGGACCTTAAAAATCTTAAAATTAATGAGTAGCATTTTTGGAAATGAAAGAGTGTGGATAAAGTTCATAAAATCTTGCATGCAAAATCTCTCTTGGCAGTGACGTCTACAATGACGCGGTTGTTGAGAATTTCAGTTGGAGGTGTGGGAGATTTGATAATGGATTGACAGTCTCTGGAAAGAGTTGTGGTACATTGCATCCCCGAATCTACTTCCATATCCATATGCCTGATANGTTGCATGCAAAATCTCTCTTGGCAGTGACGTCTACAATGACGCGGTTGTTGTGAATTTCAGTTGGAGGTGTGGGAGATTTGATAATGGATTGACAGTCTCCAGAAAGAGTTGTGGTACATTGCATCCCCGAATCTACTTCCATATCCATATGCCTGATATTGGTGGCATTTAAATTTGTTTTATCCGCCAGGCTAATATAAAAAATTGTCAAACCAAACCAAATAAAGCCTTGCCTTAGATATTGGGGGTTTGCTATATGAATTATTTTTTGCCATTCTGCTCAGTTAAATTTAAAGGAATAAATATTCTTTTCCACTTCCTTATTGTATGTTAATATTGGTATTGCCTTACGTAGCATTTCCAGTTATGGTGATCATATCATCTTCCTCAATGGTGTACCTATTGTTCTTNGCCATTCTGCTCAGTTAAATTTAAAGGAATAAATATTCTTTTCCACTTCCTTATTCTATGTTAATATTGGTATTGCCTTACGTAGCATTTCCAGTTATGGTGATCATATCATCNACTTGTATGAAATTGATCAGCCAATCTTGTTAACTGTTTTAATTATCACCGATTTATACACTATGATGTTTGGTACCCAAAAACTTCTTTGTGTAGAACTTCTTATGCAGCAAGGATATTTTGCATTAATCTTTCCAGGAGTTTTCTTGCCCTTCAACTGCGTGTATATTTGTNTCTTCCTCAATGGTGTACCTATTGTTCTTCATGGTATATGTCTAAACTGTCTTGGATTTATTTCCTCTCAGTATATCTCCAAATTGGTGCTACTCCTACCATGTCTCTCCAATTTATTTATTTCGGTTCTGTTATGCTACGTGTTATTTTTGTTTAGATGTATGTTTATATCTCTTACAATTCTTTGACCTTATATATAAATTCTAGAGTGTACTTATGTGACCTAACACATACTACTATTGACTGATTTTTTTTTTTTCTCTTGTATTTTCTTAAAACCTATCTCCTTAGTTGCACCACATTTAAGTTGTCAATTCAACTGCTTTATCATTTATATTTCTGATTTCTTCTTAAGATACTGTTTTAGTCTTGTAAAAACAATGCATTTCTTTAACTGATATGTTTATGGCTTTGTTGTTTCAGGAAGGTCAGCGAACAATGGTGGGCATCGCTACATTTGATTCGACCATCCATTTTTACAATCTGAAACGTGCACTACAGCAGGTTGATTTAATTATGTTTCCCCCCTCATTAATAGATGCTTTTCTGCCTTTTATTATTACATTTATATTTCTTGTGGATACACCTGATTTGTTTTGAATATAAGTCATGTTGTTATATTTTGTCGATCTTGGGCAATAGGAAACACATTTTTGTAGGCTCCTGTTGGCAAGAATTTTGTTATCATCCACCTTCTTTCTTTTTAAGAGTTGTCCATACAAAAATGTGCTTTCTGGTATTTTGTTTGACGAGTAGCTAACCTAACATTTTCTTCTTAGGGTCTGACTACAAGGCTGAAAAGTAGAGTGAAAATTGTAATACTAACTTAATGTCATTTTTTATGTCAATGTATGTTTGCAGCCTTTGATGCTTATAGTTCCTGATGTACATGATGTTTACACTCCTCTCCAAACCGATGTTATTGTTCCACTTTCTGAGGTGATATGTAAAATTCTGACCTTCCAATTTCCTTTCGTTGGGTGATAATTGCGAGGCATTATTTTACCAATTGGTTCTAAGTATTTATTTCCCTTTTTCAATGAGTTTCTAAGCAAATTAAGTGAACATTTTTTTTTCCATTTCAGTGCTGTCAACATCTAGAGTTATTGCTAGAGAACATCCCAACTATGTTTCAGGACAACAGAACCGCTGATTCAGCCTTTGGTGCAGCTGTGCAGGTATGCAATTTATCTATATGGCACTTGTATGAAATTGATCAGCCAATCTTGTTAACTGTTTTAATTATCACTGATTTATACACTATGATGTTTGGTACCCAAAAACTTCTTTGTGTAGAACTTCTTATGCAGCAAGGATATTTTGCATTAATCTTTCCAGGAGTTTTCTTGCCCTTCAACTGCGTGTATATTTGTGTCTGCTATATCATGGAACAGTCCGAAGTGTCTATAAGATCAAGCGATCATTGGCTCAAGAATTAGTGAAATATGCAAATGATCAGGAATTTGAGAAATATGAAGCTTACTAAATGATACAAATAGTTCCAATTTCCATTGGGTGATAGGGATGTAGCCGAGCCGAATAGCAAGTCACTCAAGTTTGTTAGTTTGGCTGGTTTATTTTATGAGCCTCTAATGAATGAGGCTTGCTGGAGTCGATCTTGAGTACCTTCACATTTCATATAGTCATTGGATGCTTAGCCCATCAAGCTTAGTTCGAGTGGAACTTGAAAAATTTGCGAGCTTAAAAAATGTGCTCAAGCTTGGTTCAATTCTCAAAAGTGCCTCTAACGAGGAAATCCTGACTTGAGCTTGAGTAGCTTGTTTATTTATTTATTATAAATATCACCCATGTCAGAATGTGTTGATCATGCGGAAAATGAAATTGAATTTCTTGGTATGTTGGTTGCATGCTAGATTGCTTCACTATATTTTAACGACAATAATCTTTGTGAAATAACACATATCCTTGTACTCCCATTAGATTTGACAGTTTTTATCATTGTTGTTGCTGTGGTTTAATGTCGTCTAGTAGTGATATTAGACCCTTTGCATGATTATATGATACGCAATTACATAAAAATGACTTAATTTTGGATAATTGATAGTACATGTTTTTGACGTTGATATATGTTATCATTACTTCAGGCTGCGTTCTTGGCAATGAAGAGTACTGGGGGCAAACTTCTGGTTTTCCAGTCAGGCAAGCTGATGATCTTTGCTCTATTTTTTTTGTATTTTGCCTTAAAAGAAATTTTCAAGTTGAGGTATTGCAAGTTAGCTGTATTGTGCCTCCATTCTCTTGTTATTTATAATGTTTAAGACTTGTCACTGAGAAGAGATTCTGAACTTCTAATTTGATTTATGCATGAGACATTCTGAAATGGCAGGTGTATGCTAGCTAAGTCGTATATAAAATGTTGGTGCAGTAAATAGTGAAAATCACATGAGGAGTTTGATGCCAAAGAGATCACACATGCATTTTTTTTAATATTTAGACTAAAAGAATTGTTGTTTTTTGTGAACCGGAAAACTTGGCTTAGGCTATCAATTAGAGAATCTCCAACCTTGATTCAAATTTTTACTAAAATTTGAGTAAAAATCTTGATGTGGTACAAATGGCTTAAATGGACAAACTCAAATTTAAAAGAGGACCAACTCAAATTTAAAGAAAGACAAACTCAAATTTAAAGGTGGGTGAAATATTATCATTGAATTTTTAAAGGAGAATGAAACCACACCATTGGTGATTTGAGTAAAGGTTTGAGTTTCTTTTGATTTGAGTAAAAATTTGAATGTCCCTTGCTTTGGTATGAGTGTGGTTATAGGATTGGAGAAAGTTATTGAGTTATTTTTACTCAAATTTAAATTTGGGTCTAAAAAAGGGGTAAGAGTTGGAGATTCTCTTAGAAAATGAAATATAGAGTGTCTAGGGTTCGTTGGAAGCAAAGCCTATGATCATGCGACCAGGACCTCTACATAAAATAATAGATGAAAAAATACTCTACTGATTGTAAGATTTTTACCAGAACTTAAGGNCGAAAATCACATGAGGAGTTTGATGCCAAAGAGATCACACATGCATTTTTTTTAATATCCAGACTAAAAGAATTGTTGTTTTTTGTGCACCGGAAAACTTGGCTTAGGCTATCAATTAGAGAATCTCCAACCTTGATTCAAATTTTTACTAAAATTTGAGTAAAAATCTTGATGTGGTACAAATGGCTTAAATGGACAAACTCAAATTTAAAAGAGGACCAACTCAAATTTAAAGAAAGACAAACTCAAATTTAAAGGTGGGTGAAATATTATCATTGAATTTTTAAAGGAGAATGAAACCACACCATTGGTGATTTGAGTAAAGGTTTGAGTTTCTTTTGATTTGAGTAAAAATTTGAATGTCCCTTGCTTTGGTATGAGTGTGGTTATAGGATTGGAGAAAGTTATTGAGTTATTTTTACTCAAATTTAAATTTGGGTCTAAAAAAGGGGTAAGAGTTGGAGATTCTCTTAGAAAATGAAATATAGAGTGTCTAGGGTTCGTTGGAAGCAAAGCCTATGATCATGCGACCAGGACCTCTACATAAAATAATAGATGAAAAAATACTCTACTGATTGTAAGATTTTTACCAGAACTTAAGGTTTGAGGTTTGTAGCCTAAGTTGATTGTGCATGGAAGGTGAGAGAACCATAGTATGGGGAAAGAGGTTTGCCTTTGTAATGGTTAGTTTATTAGGTGGCTATATTGGATAAATCTCAGAAAATATAGGAAATAATTAGAGGTTGATGCATCAAGCCGAAGTCCATTGGGGATGGGGAGTATACCTCCTTGCTGCTAGAGTTGGTTATCTGTATCTTTTGTTCTTCAAACTTTGCTGCAGGTAAAGTTACAAAAATGGCTAACATTTCAATCATTAATATTTATTGGAAACTGCATACCTTAAGAATTTCACTAGAAATGTGTTCACAGTGATTGGATAGGACTAGATCAATGTGCATTACTATACATTTTTGAAGAGTCGATATTTATTGCTGGACCAATTGACATAGTGATGTGGATTATTGGTTAAACCTCTAAAGATCTTTGATTAAGAACTAGAGAGGCGTTTGGAAAAAAAAGGGGGGGGGGGGGGTTAGCGTGGGTGTGTGGTTCAATGGGTCTATTAATAATTATATCGAATTTTAATCTTGAACATTTCAATAAGTAACTCAACAATTTATTCACATGCAAATATAATCAATAAAGTTTATACTCAATCGTGGTACTAAAAACAGTTAGATCTGCTGGTGCATTGTGATCCATCTATTGAAGATATGTAGCTAAAATACCTTATGATTGATATGGTGCAGTGTAATCAATCCATTAAAGATGTGTTCAATGTAAGATTTGATGCCAATTCATCCTCAACAACCTAAACCTGCTGGAAACTTCTCGGGAATCAATTCCAAGAAAGGTTCAAAGAACACACAGAAGTGTATCAAGTTCTATGGTCTTGGTCTAGGATTGTTCTCACAAAAACTTTATAATTTGTTCTTTCAAAGATTTACTCTGAAAACATTAAAGACAATTCTTGTGACCGCCTAAAACCTCGTCGAAACTATTTTGTTTCTTAGGCAAACTCTTACAAGCGTAGGATAACTATAGGTGTTTTATAGTTTGTAAACAAGAACTCTAGTTTTAAAAATACTAATAATATGCCTACCAAATAGAATTTGAAACTGAGGGATCCGAAGAACTTGTATGCCCACTTTTTCCATGATTNTGTAAACAAGAACTCTAGTTTTAAAAATACTAATAATATGCCTACCGAATAGAATTTGAAACTGAGGGATCCGAAGAACTTGTATGCCCACTTTTTCCATGATTATTCTTTGCTTTTAATAGGAATCTTCTCAAACGTCTTTCCCTATTTTTGTCACATTTTAACAAAGTAGAAAATAATCACAATATAAAAAGAGAGAAAACAAAACATAAAATATCATGGGAAAAAATAATAAGATCATTTCAAAGCAAAAATATATTTATTCTTAATCTGCATTAGTACAAGATTAGAAAGATGTATACATTACATAATCAAACTCATAGCAAAGTCAGAAACTAACTAGACCTATACTATACTGGAAAGAATAAAATGTTCAAAAAGGTTTTAGGCAACCGTGAACTAGTAAAACTCAACTCAACTCAATAAAAAGTCTTAGCCAATTATTCGGAGTTGGTTAGATGAATCCTGTTCTTTCATTGTACTCTATTAAGGACATATTTAGTGGGTTTGTAGTGGTGTTCCNAGTTTTAGGCAACTGTGAACTAGTACAACTCAACTCAACTCAATAAAAAGTCTTAGCCAATTATTCGGAGTTGGTTAGATGAATCCTGTTCTTTCATTGTACTCTATTAAGGACATATTTAGTGGGTTTGTAGTGGTGTTCCATTAATGGAAGGATAACTGGATGGATGGAAAGACCTTTTGAGTTGGAGGAAGTTAAGAGGGTTGTTTTGAGTGTAGTAAAGAAAAAGTCCCAAGTCCGGATGATTTCATTAGGGCTACATTTCAAGTATGATGAGATGAGGTGAAAGATGCTCTAANGTTTTAGGCAACCGTGAACTAGTAAAACTCAACTCAACTCAATAAAAAGTCTTAGCCAATTATTCGGAGTTGGTTAGATGAATCCTGTTCTTTCATTGTACTCTATTAAGGACATATTTAGTGGGTTTGTAGTGGTGTTCCATTAATGGAAGGATAACTAGATGGATGGAAAGACCTTTTGAGTTGGAGGAAGTTAAGAGCGTTGTTTTGAGTGTAGTAAAGAAAAAGTCCCAAGTCCGGATGATTTCATTAGGGCTACATTTCAAGTATGATGAGATGAGGTGAAAGATGCTCTAATGAGGATGTTTGAGGACTTCTTTTCATAATCATGCAACTAATGCAATTACAAATGCTACATATGTTTACGTTACCTGGAAAAAGTTAATTTCTTGAATTTGAAGGATTTTAGGCCTAGTAGTTTAGTTACAAGCTTGCATAAGATTATAGCAAAAGTTTTATTAGTTAGGCATAGGGAGTGCTTAAAAGTGAATACTATTTTAAGGTTTCAAGCAACTTTTGTGAAAGGGAGACACATTGTGGATGCAAGTCTTGTGGCTAATGAGGTAATTGAAGGATATAGAACAAGATGGGAGGAGGATATTGTGTTGATAATTGATTTTGAGAAAGTATATGATTATGTGATGGAATCCATAAGATGCTCAAGGAAACGCAAATTTGAAGATGTGAAAGACAATGAAATTGACTTTTCATCTAGACAAAAATTCATATGGAACCTTGTATTATTATATTTTGAGTCTTATTTTAAGTTTTTTTGAGTCAATTTGCTAGTATTAGTATTTTCTATATCCTTTTAATAGTTTTTAGACTCAAGTGTATTTTTGTAATTTCTAGAAATTGTGGAATGGGTCATAATCCAATCCGTGGGTTGTCTTTTGGGTTAAACTGTAGTTTTGGATATGCTAGGATTTAGAGTTCTTGTTTTAGTTTGTTTTAGTTTTTTTTGATGGGATTGTTTTAATTTTCTAATTTTTAGTGATCTAGAGTTTTTGGAGGTCTAGAGACTTTGGAATCCTATTCTTTTAGGATTAGGAGTACTTAAAACTCTATATATAGTTAGTGATATTTTTAATAAAAGAGATAGCGAGATATTTCAGAAATTTAATCAATTATATGCTTCATGAGTCTTGTGATGCAATTCTANGAGTACTTAAAACTCTATATATAATTAGTGATATTTTTAATAAAAGAGATAGCTAGATATTTCAGAAATTTAATCAATTATATGCTTCATGAGTCTTGTGATGCAATTCTAACCCTTAGGTGTGATGCCTAAGGAACTCTAGGAGTGATTCCTAGCCAATATTAGTTGTGTCATTGTTCACAGTCCTATTACTATTCATTGTACTGTTCATAGCTCCTAGATCCAATTTTGATTTCGCATTGCTACCCAACATCACTATGTGGACTGGACTTTTTGGATGTTATACTGGAGGTAAAATATTTTGAAGATAGGTGTAGGAAATGAATTGAGGGGTGCTTGGAGTTGATGAGTTTCTCGGTTACCTTGGATGATAAACTAACAAGAAGTTTAAGGAATCTAAGTGCTTAGGTTAGGGATCCTTTATTGCCTTTTTTGTTCTCTGTGGTGGTCGATGGGTTGAGTAGGTTAATAGAAATGCCAAAGAGATGTAATTTGATTGAAGATTTTGTGATTAGGAGGAAAATCATATTAGTGTCATTGCAAATGATCCTTTTTTTTTTTTTTTCAGGATTGAAGGAGAGATTTGAGAGTCTAAAAAAGATTGTTGAGGTGTTTGGCGTGATTTCTGACATTTAGGTTAATATGAAAAATACCTTAATTGTGGGAATAAATTCTAGTGAAGAGAAGATAGGTAGGTTGGTTCTTGTGTTGGTGGTTGGCCAATGAGGTATTTAGGTCTCTCTTTAGGCAATTACCCATTGTCTAAGATTTTTTGGGATCCTATTAATCAGAAAATATGGAAAATTTTATGTGGGAGGAAGGAAACCTATATTTCTAGGGATAGATTAACATTAGTTTTGTTTGTATCGGCCAATATTCCTATTTTTTTCTTGTCTCTCATTTTAATGCCTTGTTTAGTGGCAAGGACAATTGAAGTGATGATGATAGATATTTTAGAAGAAGATTGTGGCGAGTGATGGAAGGATTATTTGATTTGGTGGGAAGTTCTGTCTACGCCTAAGCTTGATGTCAGGCTTTTTGTGGGGAATTTTTTGAGTAGGAATGTAGTCATGGTTTGGAAATATCTTTGGGGATTCCCATTGGAGGATGATTCACTAGGAAGCACGAATACTTCCATAGGGGTGTTGTGGCACTGTCGAACACGTGTTCGACATGAACAGTGTTCGACACGAACACGACCAGAATTCGGCCGGGCACGTGTCCGACACCGTTAGAAGTGTTCTAAATAGTGAATTTATGCGGACACAGCCAAGATATGTCTAGTATACGGTCAGGATACGTGTAGTACATGGGCAAATTTTTTTTTATTAAACAATAACTTTTAACTATTAAAAAGAGTGTGATTTTGCTTTTTTTTTTTTAATTATTTTTTGTTATGTAACTTATATACTAGGAATGTTATTAGATGTCATGATGTTTGATGAAAATGGTAGATATTTAATTTGATCTATTTCAATTTTAATCAAAAAATTAATATTTGTTAGGTGTTATTATTAATATTGTTATAATATATGCTTTATTTTTAATATATTATAACTCTATTATTATTTAAAAAATATATTATATTATTTTAATAGTCGTATCCTTGCCGTATACGTGTCCTATATTATTGAATTTTGTCGTATCCCCATATCCGTATTGTATCGAATATGACATCCATATCTGTATCCGTGCTTCCTAGATGATTTATTGTAGTATTCTATTGTTAGGAGCAAATGATGGTTATTGGGAAATGGGTGGAGTGCAATTGCGGTTAAAAGGGCCGATCTTTGGAGTTCATTTTTAGGGGCTACCTTATTTTTCTCAGAGGTCAAGTTCATTGGATGAATTGGTCAAGGGTCCTTTTTGGGATGATATCTAGGTTGGGGAGTATTCATGTTCTAGTCTATTTTCTCGTCTTTATCGTATTTTTTGTTTATCATGGTATGGGAAGTGTATTGTATTTTTTAAGGTCTTACTCATCCGCTTTCTTGTGATAAGACTCATAAGAGCCTAAATGATAAGAAACATTCTTGGTTGTTGATACTTCTTTCTATGCTTATTTGTTTTCCCTGGTCCCCAAATTCTTCGGTTAAAAAAATGTTGGATTAGTGATTAGCTTGTTTTTTGTCATATAAATCCTACTTTGAGTCCGTCGTTGATGATTCTTCATTTCCATGATTCCATTAATTAGTAAAGATTTGACGGTCAAACTGCCTTTAGGTGCAAATTGGCGTATATAATTGCTCATGGTTAGTGTTGGAAGTATAATACTTGCATAATACCCTTTTTAATGGTATAAACTTTTTAAGTATATGATTGTTTAATATGGTATCATAGTAGGAGGTCTTGTATTCGAAATTGTCGCCACCCTAATTCTTACTAAAAAATTTTATGTTCTAGGTCCAAAATTTAGCATACACGTAGGAGTGTGTGTTGAAGTACAAATACTTAAGGTACACATTGTTTAACTACTTAACCTTGTGGAGTAGATGGTTGTTTAACAGTAAGATTCATATAATGATGTATGAATTGCGTGCTCTACTTTTTTGATTATTTGTCTGGTACATTTTGTTCGGAACATAATTTCCAGTTTTCTTGATATCTTTTCATACTTTTCTCTTGAACTGTGAAGCTTTTTTGACATTTGAACTTATTTTTTCGTGTNCCTTTTTGGGATGATATCTAGGTTGGGGAGTATTCATGTTCTAGTCTATTTTGTCGTCTTTATCGTATTTTTTGTTTATCATGGCATGGGAAGTGTATTGTATTTTTTAAGGTCTTACTCATCCGCTTTCTTGTGATAAGACTCATAAGAGCCTAAATGATAAGAAACATTCTTGGTTGTTGATACTTCTTTCTATGCTTATTTGTTTTCCCTGGTCCCCAAATTCTTCGGTTAAAAAAATGTTGGATTAGTGATTAGCTTGTTTTTTGTCATATAAATCCTACTTTGAGTCCGTCGTTGATGATTCTTCATTTCCATGATTCCATTAATTAGTAAAGATTTGACGGTCAAACTGCCTTTAGGTGCAAATTGGCGTATATAATTGCTCATGGTTAGTGTTGGAAGTATAATACTTGCATAATACCCTTTTTAATGGTATAAACTTTTTAAGTATATGATTGTTTAATATGGTATCATAGTAGGAGGTCTTGTATTCGAAATTGTCGCCACCCTAATTCTTACTAAAAAATTTTATGTTCTAGGTCCAAAATTTAGCATACACGTAGGAGTGTGTGTTGAAGTACAAATACTTAAGGTACACATTGTTTAACTACTTAACCTTGTGGAGTAGATGGTTGTTTAACAGTAAGATTCATATAATGATGTATGAATTGCGTGCTCTACTTTTTTGATTATTTGTCTGGTACATTTTGTTCGGAACATAATTTCCAGTTTTCTTGATATCTTTTCATACTTTTCTCTTGAACTGTGAAGCTTTTTTGACATTTGAACTTATTTTTTCGTGTTAATATGATATTTTAGAGTCCTCATAAGCTATCAAAATATTTATTGACAGCGTTGATTGATCTGAGAATTCTGATTAATGTACTATATGCTCACAGTCCTGCCATCGTTTGGCATTGGTGCCCTTTCTGCTAGGGAGGCTGAAGGAAGAGCTAATATCTCTGCAGGAGATAAGGTATGAATATATTGACACATGTTTAATTTGTCACTGACAGTTTGTCCTTCGAAGCTCACTGTTGTTTTCATATTGACTTTTCAACTTGAGTTGGATGGTGAACTAATCTTGACAGATGACAATATTCTTAATTATGCACAGCAGAAGGAATTTTCCCTTCATTAGATTTGTCTTCCTTGCTATGAACATCTTTAGTTTAATAAGAGCATTATAAGCCTTTGGTTTCTTTACTTTTCCAGTCTTTTCTTATTTATTTGAGTGAAGAAACATGGTTATGGCCATCAATTCGGTTTTCTGTGTGATAGTCAGGTAACAAGATCTTGTAGATTTTTTAAAATGTGCAGAGGATGCTGCTGTCCAAAATTCGGCAATTATATATGTTTTCTACTGTAGGTTTTTGATTGACCACAAGATTTTGTTATTATTTTGAAAATCAGTAAAGACCTTAAAGGGCCTTCATTTATTTTCTAGATCATATGCTTTTTCCTGAAACAAAATGAATCCATATACACATCAAGAAACCTACTTTTAAGATATTATATTTATACTCAAAATTGATTGGCAGAATTTTCTTTCTTTTTCATTTTCTCAAACCTATGTGGGTTTAATATCAGATATGGTGTTCCCACAACTTCCATGGTAAAGCATGGACCGCATGTAGTTTTGCATAGCAATAGAGTGTCGTGAATAGTCATAAGAGTTATGGTTATTATTGGATTTCAGGAGGCCCATAAGCTACTCCAACCGGTGGACAAAACTCTAAAGACAATGGCTATAGAATTTGCTGAGTACCAGGTGAAGTTATAAATTTTGGTTCTTCTGGTTAGCTAAGGTTCTGAATTCTTTCCCATGTAAATTTTATCTATCAATCTTAATCTTATTTTCTCGTCATTTTCAGGTCTGTGTTGATGTATTTATTACTACTCAATCTTATGTTGACATTGCGTCCATCTCTGTCATTCCAAGGACTACCGGAGGGCAGGTATTCCTGAATGATACGTTTGCTGTTCCAGCTTTGTATTCACCATAAGTTTTAAATTGGTAGTAGTGCCCATGCTTTTGGCTGGACAATTTGTTGAAAAGCATCAGTTTGCATCTTTCACTATTGTGAATATTGCCTTTTTCAGTTTTTTTCATTTGATTTGTTTATCTCATAGTTGGTTGCCCTTCATTTTAAAAGAGGCAGGCAGCTGGAAAAGGCTGTGATTGTCTTATGTAAGGAACTGCAGGACTGCTCATATGAAGCTTGCTAGATGTAACATTTCTCATGCGCCTCCTAATTCAAACCTTTTGCAATGATGATTTTTTTCTTTTTTTTGCTTTCCCTGTAAAGTTTTATTCTTGATGATCTGATTCTTGGAAAAGATTTATTTTCTTGCCAGATAGCAGAGTCTAAAAACTGATGAGTAATTGTGTCAATGCTTCCTGTCTTACATTTCTGCAACGCCAATGTCGTTACTGCCTACTAGGTCTTTTTAGGGTTATCCAGGGTCAAAAATCTATGACACCTTCAGAAAGCTAGAGTTAGTACAATGGGAAGTCTGAGGCCTGATTGTAGATGGTGTGATCTCTCTCTCTCTGTCTTGGTGGAGTGTGGTGGCCAAAGAAATATGTTTTTGTCAGTCTTGTTGGAAATCTTAGAGAGACTTTAAATTTCATCTCATTGTTTCTGCAGTTCACCTCTTTCATGGGCTGCACACTCTTTTGTTGTTTCTACTATTCACTTGCGAGTGAAAGATCAATACTTTAAATTTTCTCTTGTCTGCATGAACCAAGCACCAACTTGTTGCTGCCATTTGCCACTTGTTTCTCACTTTGGCATTGGGTTGTTGCTCAGCTGGTGGAATATTTTCATGATTATGGTCAACTAAATTACATGATGAGTTTTTGGTTGTCCCTTCCATTTTTTACTCATTGTATGAATGTTGTAGCTGCAAGTGGGATATTTTTTTAGTTTTCAAATAGAGGATGATAATCGCATTTTACACTTCATACAACTATTGGGGTTATAGAATGGCAAAATTTTTAGTTTTTGTGTTTTTTCAACAGTAGGTAACTGGTAATGAATTCTGGCATTGACCTTCTAATATGGCATAATCTGTTGAAGCATGAATATGGATGTGCTGTCATGCACATGATATACATCCTAGAGTTCTAAAAAAAGATATAAATGTGGCAGGGACATACCAATATATACATTTATGCCTTTTGTGCAAATCAGACAGGAAGACTTGTTTTATGTTATTAAATTTTTAGACTTTCTTACTTAAAAGTTGAAATTTGTGTGACAATTTAGCATCTAAAGGTATTATGAATGAAGTAAGGCCGGTGGGATTTGATTTTTTGCCGTGAATTGGGCTGGAGGTTAATGGAGGGGATTACAAATATAATGACACCAGTAATCATGGTTGGAAGATTTCTAATAGGGATAATGAAGTCACTAAGAATGGAAAAGGGGCTGGCTTTAGAAGAAGACAAGGAAGTGGGCTTCACTGGTGCAGGGCCCTCTAAAACAAGACATTAAATTGAAGTCCAGCCCAGAAGCAAGGTTTTAAAAAAAAGAGGCTACTTTTGATGGGCCATGGAATTACATTAGTAATGGTTTGAAGGGCTGTGACAATTCAGGTCAAGCCCATTCTTATCATAAATTCAACTTAAGAGGATTTAAGGGTTAATCTGGGCTGCTTAGATTCTAGTGCTCAGAGAGTTTTTGCAAGTTCTCCTTGGTCGATGCCTTTGTCGATTCAATTCTTTCAGGAAGTGGAGTGATTTGACCCAATGTGTGTGCAATCAAAGGTCATGTTTCCATACCAAACCAACATAAACAATACCCAATCTGCTAAAGATAGGTTTGGTAAATGTGATTTTCAAAGAGATGTTAGAAAATCATGGAGCTTTTTCTAGATATTTCACTTTCGTAAAGAAGAATTGGATAGTGATTTGTTCGAACATAACAAAGCTCGTGAAGAATTACATCTAATGTAAGGATCATAATTTTGTTTCGGGGTATTGTTTTGATCACTTAGAAAATGGAAACGTCTCGATAATATTCCGAAAATGTTTCAAAAAAAATAATGAAAATGAATAAAAAATTTGAGAATTTATTTTCAAAACATTCTAAAACATTGGTCAAAATATAGTAAAACATATTGAAACACTTCTAAATATTGATGGAAAATGTCGAAATATCTCGAAATACCTCGAAATATTCAAAAATATCTAGTGATGAAAGAGGAGGGCAACATTACCCACTACTATATATACCACGTTGATAAAATGGACATTGATATAATATAACATTGTGGTTCATATACANCTTTCGTAAAGAAGAATTGGATAGTGATTTGTTCGAACATAACAAAGCTCGTGAAGAATTACATCTCATGTAAGGATCATAATTTTGTTTCGGGGTATTGTTTTGATCACTTAGAAAATGGAAACGTCTCGATAATATTCCGAAAATGTTTCAAAAAAAATAATGAAAATGAATAAAAAATTTGAGAATTTATTTTCAAAACATTCTAAAACATTGGTCAAAATATAGTAAAACATATTGAAACACTTCTAAATATTGATGGAAAATGTCAAAATATCTCGAAATACCTCGAAATATTCAAAAATATCTAGTGATGAAAGAGGAGGGCAACATTACCCACTACTATATATACCACGTTGATAAAATGGACATTGATATAATATAACATTGTGGTTCATATACAAACTAAAGTGTCCTGATAACGAAGTTTGATGTGGCCATCCACGATAATGACAACTTATTGACTAGATAATGAGAATAAATAAAAATTTTAAGAATTTATTTTCAAAACATTCCAAAACATCGGTTAAAATATACCAAAATATATTGAAACACCTATACATATTGATGGAAAATGTCAAAACTTTACAACACATTCCAAAACACTTCGAAGCATTAGAATTTAGATTTAATCACTAAATCGTTTTTTGGTCTCCTTGAAAATGGAAACGTTTTGGATGTTTTGACCGTTTTCAAATAAAATTTTGATCCTTTGTTTGACGATGAAGGTTTCTCTTTGGTAGCCTATATCTGTTCTGATGATGCATCGATGGTGGATGATTCCGTTGGGGAGGTAGGGCGATTATTTGAGTAAGAGTTGGAGGATGTGGCAGGTACTCGTAATTGGAGGACACAACGGATACTGATACTTTTACATTTAAAAGTGAAACAGAGGCCTATAGAGAAGACTAGAAAGATCATTTGATTAGATGAGACTTAGTATCCTGATCCAAAATGAAGGAAGGTCTTGCATTGGGTAACTTGACTGCGAGGAATATTTTCTTACTTGTCAAATGGTTATGGAGATTTCCAATTGAGATTAATAGTTTATGGCATGCGGTGATTAAAAGCAAGTACAAGATTCAAGATTTCAAAGTAAGTAACGAGGATCTTCTTTATGTCTTTGGAAGTTTATTTCTCAAGTATTATCAAATTCTTCTGTCCAGGTCCAATACTTTGCTGGTAATGGGGAGATAATTCATTTTTTGGAGGATCCTTTTTTTTTTTTTTTTTTTTTTTTTTTTTGGGGGGGGGGATTGGGGGGTGTTTGTCTTGACTTTTGCTTCAATGTTTCCTCGTTTATATAGGTTATCTAGGACTCATAATTTCTATATTTCAAGTTTGTTTTCTTCCTCTTCTTCCCCAAGTAGTTAAATTTTGATTGTTAGGAAGTTGAGTGATAGAGAAGTTATTGAAATATCCTTTCTTTCGGGTATTCTTGGTAATGTGGAATTGAATCTTCCTCCTTCTTTGGGCTGAAAAAGGTGGATCGTTTCTTCTTCGGAGAGTTCTCTTGTAAATCCTTTTTTTGAGTTTTTGATTGATAAACCACGTTTCCCCATCTTCCAACCCTTGTTTATGATTTTGAAGTCTTAAGGAAAGTTTTTGTTTGGTTACTTGCACATAAGGTACTCAATATTGATGAATTGCTTCAAAAGAGAAGACCTTCCTATTTTGCTTCTCCCGCAATGTTGTTCTTTGTGCAAATAATGACAATTGTACTTCATTTTTTGAGACTCATTTTGAGGGATTTGAAGATAGAGATACTCCTCGGCAAGATTTATGGGAAAAAATCACTTTCGTGGCTTCTCTTTGGGCTTCTACAGCCAAAGAGTTTGAAGGAATATCATTCTTTTTTTTTTAATCAAGGATCATTGTGTCCAAGTGTGCTTTAATGGTTGAGGATGGAATGTCTTGTTTTGTATTCTAAGTTAACTTCATAGTTTTTTTTTTTCCCTCTTTTTTCATTTTGAGGACTCCTTCTCTCATGTACTTTTATTTTGACATCAATAATATTCTACTGTTTCCTATTCATGTGACAATTTAAGTTAATGGTGCAGTGCTAAGTTTCCAACAATTATACTACAATACTTTAGTGAAATGCCCCATCTCAATAGTGTTCAAGAATTAATGGACGCATGCCATAGCAAGTTCATAGCCAGTGAAATACCCCATCTCAATAGTATTCAAAAGTTAACGGACGCATGCCATAGTAAGTTCAAGAATTATGGCTATGTGGTCAACATAAAAAAAAATCATTTCATGTTAGGCATATGTTTAGCAAGTACCCAATATGTGCTCGCTAACTCGGAATATCAATATGTGATACCAAAATGGCTTTGCTGTAGAAGTGTTTGAGCTTCATAGATTATATCGTACTTATAAATATTAAGATTCTGTTCCTCGGAGCTGATTATATCGCACTTATAAGAGTTAAGTTTCTGTCCCTCAATGCCGACTATCATTTGGTAACATTTTTCTGAGTAGTCTATATTGCCTCAATCTTAGATATTCAGATTAGTTTGGGTGATGTTGATATTAGTTTGGGAATTAGAAGATGAACTTTTATATATCAGAGGTGGTGGTTTTGTTTATCAGTAGTAAAGAAATTTTATTGATAGAATAAATAAAAAGAATGTGGGAGCGAGAAGTCAACCAACAAGGGGAAAAAGGAAAACTTAAGAGAGCAAAAAATAAAAAATTACAAATTGCAAATTACATATACATTAATATCCTGCCCTAATCTAGAAAACCGGGGTACCCACAAACTTGGGAGTTGCTGAAAACTAAAAGGAGGCCAAGGAGGGAATTCTATCCCACAAAGCTGCGTAATTCTCAAGCTTATCTTCAAAGGTTCTGTATCAGTGGTGTTGTTTCCTAGTTTCTTTTCTTTTCTTCACATCATTGTTCTGTGGGTTACTTGTGGATGTTGGAATTTTCATATCAATTTTGTCTTTCCTTTCATAGACAGATTTCTTAATTTTTGGACTCTAATTTTTCGACAGGTGTATTACTATTATCCTTTCTCTGCCCTATCTGATCCTGCTAAGATTTACAATGACCTTCGATGGAACATCACAAGACCCCAAGGTTTGGAGGCAGTCATGCGTGTAAGATGCAGCCAGGTGAGTTTGTAATTTTAGTGAATTTTGGTTGCCATTTGTCTTCCATAAAGTGGAAAATAGCTCTATTTTGCATTATCTAATGTTAGTCAATGCTAAAACAAATGAATCAGTGGATAAATTTCACCACAATTCAGTTAACTTTTCCCTCTCATTTTTAGGGTCTCCAAGTTCAAGAATATTATGGAAACTTTTGTAAACGCGTTCCGACAGATGTTGACTTACCAGCGGTTTGTCTTCCTTCTTAGAGTGTGTGTGTGTGTTGGATTGATATTTCTTTGGGAGACACATAGTCATTCATGCGTTATTGAACGATGCTTAAATCTTGTCTCTTTTGTCAAAGTTGAGTACTGTGGAAACACAGACTGTGTGTTCTAGGCTGATACTGAAAGTTCATTTGTAGTTTGAAGCATATACTAGAGATTATCTGAGAGATACTTGCATTGACTCTTATACCTCTTTTTGAGCTTTGTGATAAAATTTGTCTGTAACTGTGGTCACTGTATCTAATGCCCACTCTTGGAGAATGCTTTGGAAGATAAACTTGGTGAACTTAAGCCAGATTCAGTGGTACTAGTCATCTGGTTCCTTGGTTTGTATATCTATGGAAAATATATAGAAGTTGCAGTTTTCAACTGAATGTGATTCGGTTTCCAGGAAGATATTGATCAGCTTGAATCCATATTGGATTCTAGCTACATTTAATTCGTTCATGCTGCCATAAGTCATCTTGTATCATTAAATAGTTGGGAGTAAATGACTACTTTTTAGTAAGCAGCTATCCTTGCTTTCGGCCTTAGGTCTTACAGCTATGGTATTATAGACCTATCTAGTAAGTCTTCTCGTTCTTCGCCTTTGGCTTTCGTCCGTCATCCTCTTTACACTTGGTTGCTTCAGCCTTCTTCTTCCGGCCAATAAATAGGTTTTTAGTGAATGACTCTTTCTATCTTTAGTTTCGGTTCATTATGGCAGTTGTTAGTTTTAGCTGAGTTGAATTTAGGCCTGCAAATTTTGTGGCCTAATTGCCTACTTGTCTTGAATCATTGTTACACTGAAATTGGAGTGAACCTTGCTTCCTGACCAAGCCCTTGAATGGAATGACATTGGGCACTCATAACTGGTGATAGGATATTGAACCGGATTCCCTATTGCTGTCATTCTAACAAGTTTGGGTTTCACTAGTATTATATATTTGTTTCCCTTTGCATCAAGCTCATTAATATTGAAGACCACATCCACAACCAAGCAGAAATTCTCCATTATTCCTGTAACTTGCCCAAACTTACCATTTTTAAATGGCATATTGTCCTTATTTGGAGTGTGCTTCACTGCCATGCTTTAGTTTATTGTAATTTATGCTATGTTACAACAGTGCTAGTTGACTTTTAAAATTAAATGAGCTGTTAGTTAGTAACTTGAAGTATCACAATGCAAAATGACTTGACCTTAATATATAAAATTCAGAAATCAATTCTTATTAAGCAGGCTTAATAAAATTGAAATTAAGGCAGAGATGACATCCATGACAGCTGTTCATTTTGTTTTGAGAAAGGAAGAATTCATAATATTTTCCTTGTGGTTGTACATTTTTACCCTTGATAATAGATATATGACTGCCTCAGTTAACTCTTCGTCTATTCTTTCTGCCAAATGTTGAACATGGTCAGATGAAGAGATAAGACTCCAAAGCAAAATTTCCTTTAAGGCCACATGTCTTTGTGTACCTCTTGAGGTGCAATTCCAATGGAGCTGGAAATCAGGAAAAGTTCCAGCAAATCAATAATGAATTCGAGATTGAACCACTGAAGGAGAAATTTGAATGGATGAAAGATGATTAACCACATCCTTTGAAATGTACAGAGGTTGCACCTTTTGTTAATGCCGTGACTCAGATACGCGAAGTCGTGAATACAATATTTCTCTAACAAAAAGGATACCGACACGTTGTGAGCACATTACTACATAATAATTTCATATATATCATGTAGTACAGATTATCACAAATATAAAAAAAATTATCTTGGTACTCGAACAAAATTGAAGTAAATCTCATGTCNCCAACCACCAAGCTCCAATGAGAACTCTAAGACTCGAACTCCCAACCTCAAGGTGAGGAGTAAGACCGGTACCTTACTAGACCATCCTACTTGGTAGTATGTAAGGCAGGTTGTATTGTTGAAGACAGTATTATTTAAGACGTAAAGCAAATCGAAGTGAACCGGTCTCCTGAGGGTCTAGGCGAAAAGCGAAAAGAGAAAGCGAGCGCTTCATTAAAGTAAAACGAACAATATAAAAAATAAGCAAATATTTTAGTTTGATTCTTTGATTACTCATAAATATTTAAGTTTTAACTTTACAAATACAAAATATTTAAATACAATCAAAATAATAAATATCAACATATTTTAAATAAACAAGATATTAAATATTGAACATTATTGCATTCTAAAAATAATCAAATTGATATAATCATGTCATCTAAATGTAAAATAGCAAATGTGAGTTCGACTTCCACCGTGATTAATATCACCACTAAACAGAGTACTCACAAATTGATTAATTAAATGGAGCATATAACAAATTAATTAATCAATTTAATTAACCAAGTAGATTGATTAACAAGAGCATTCTCAACAAAATAGAGCATTCAACATCATTTAATCATAATAAGACAGATTGTCATGTTATCCAGTTAGATGAATCAATTAGTTTATTTTATAGATATACACATATAACATCATTTCTGCTAGGGTTTAGTTAATGTTAAGGAAGAAGAAAAAGAAGAAGACGAAGAAGGAGAAGGAGGAGGAGGAAGGAGGGAGGAGGAGGAGAAAATAAAAACACTGCAATCAGGCGTCAGCTTTTCTTGCCTGGCTCGCTTCTTCGCCTAGGCTTGTTTTTGGCTCGCTTCTTCGCTTCGTCGCCTAGGCTTGTTTTTTCCTCGTTTTATTTAACCTCGCTTCGCCTGGGATGTTCAAGGCAACTATGGCTCGTTTTTGTTTCACCTCTCGCCTAGGCGCTCGTATAGGCTCTTTTTTCACAACACTAGTTGAAAATATGCCTATCTACAGAGGTGGATAAAATTTATCCTTTTTCTTCTATTCATGAACTAAATGCGTAGAAGCGGAATGCCATGACCCTTCTCAAGCAAGAAAAACCACTCTTAGGGGTCCTTGAAGGCCACAAACTTTCCCAGGAAAACCAAACACAGCACTCTAGTGTAAAGAGTAGTAGGAGTTGCACTGAAAAGACCCAATCATTTGTGCCCTTCCACCAAATATCATCAGCTCTTTTCCACTTTGCCTTGTTATACTTACAAATAATTCAACTAGTTGAAACTTATATCAGATCCAATGGTTTGTTGATTAATGGGTGTCAACTTGAAATTAGATAATTAAATGATTGTGAGCTTACATATGCTTCTTTTGGTGCAACCTTACTTCCTTGGTTATCATCTACCATTTTGTGTTCTCTTTTGTAGAGAGAAGAACAAGTTCTATCTTGGAAAGACCATATCAGTTTCTTATCCCAAACTTACTGTTTGTGGGTTGACTAATTGCATTGTTTTGCATTCTTACAGCTTTGATTAAGAGTACTGGATTGCGATCTGATGGGCGTATTGACGATCGGTCCTTTTGGATCAGTTATGTTTCCCCTCTCCCTACACCTTTGGTGATCCCAATGGTGTACCCTCGGATGATATCGCTTCATGACCTCAATTCAAAGGTATGAGGTGCACTGTATTGGTCTGCAGCTATGATTCCTAATATGCTCCTTACATCATTGGCATGTTATTGCTAAATGACAGGAGATGGATGGATCTCTCATTCCTCCTGCTATTCCACCTTCAAGTGAACATGTGAATGATGATGGGATATATCTTCTTGAGAATGGCGTGGATTGCTTAATTTATATTGGTAACTCTGTTGATCCTGAAATTATGCGGCAATTATTAGGCATTTTGTCATTTGATGAAATTCCAACTCAGGTAATACTGTGTTTCTGTTTCTTTCCTTTTCATCTTCTCCCCCCTCTCCCGCATTTCCCTTCTTTTTTCCTGTGGCATGCAATTGAAGACTTTTGACATCTTTAATTCTTGTCTTGGAACAACATGCTTTCAAATTATCGATCGCTATGTTTTTGAGCATCCAAACTTGAATCTTGATGTTTGACTTGTGGTTTAAAAACTCAAAACTATCCCCCAGTGTGATCCCCATTAGATGGAGAGTAATACTGGGGTAGACTGGGTACAAACTTAAGCCTTTGACAATATTTGTACTAGTGGCTGACCTCAAACGAGCTGCCTGTCCCAACCTTGAAGGATTAATAAATTTAAAAGTCTACTTTAAATTATTGTCTTGCCATTTTCTTTACAAGAACGCTTTTCTCATTCTGAAATTGAATGATTGTGGTCCAGATTCAGCATCCTAATCTTCATGTCAATATTTTGTTTACTATGACTTTGTCTGTTTGTTGCACATGTCATTTTTTGTTTTCTTAATGGGAGAATCATTATTAGTAAGATCTTGTCTCTTTCTTGCAAAGAACTGCCAAAAGAGTTTCAACTCTTCTTGGAGTGCTCAGTTGTAGTTTATCCTTCATTTTGGTCAATGATACGTGAACTTCTATGAATTTTGCATCGATCAGTTAAATGATTTTTTTCTGGGATGGCTACCCTTCTGTTCAGCTTGTAATCTTGTAACTCCTTGTTTTTTCCTGCTCAGTTTGTATTGCAGCAATATGACAATCCGTTGTCGAAGAAGTTAAATGATGTCATAAATGAGATACGGCGACAAAGATGTTGCTACCTCCGGTATGACTGATGTTTGCGGGAGTGTATTATTCTTGAAGAGAATTCTTGCGTACATTTCATTTATATGTTTTCTTTAATTTGTGGTTGCTCAGCATATATCATTTGCTTTCTTTTTTTTGTTTCAGCTTAAAGTTGTGCAAGAAAGGAGATCCATCAGGTTAGTGATGAATAACAACTTTTTCATGTAATGTAGGGTTCAACCATATCATCTTTAAGTAGTTGTCATAACCTACTAAATCACTTGCCCAGAAAAACTTTTAAATCATTTATGTTTCTTTTATTTTCTGATTTCTGAAAAATCAATCTTTTATCAATTGAAAAAGATTACCCCCCCACCCAAAAGTTAACAATCTAGTATTTGCAGTTTGTTTACAATGATTATAAGTTGGAGGCCTTCTTATTAATGAATATATAGATTGCATGCCAACATAACTTTTTCTGCTGTAAACGCATCTAATGTGCACATTGTGTGGGCTTTCTTCACTTGATCGCGCTGACAAAGTTTTTAGTGTGCTAACTGTTACTTTACAGGAAGTGTAGATATATTTTAGAACTGTAGTCTTTTTATAGTTTTTTTTTTGCACGTTTTATGTACAGTTTTTCCTTTGTCTTTATTTCCAGGCTTGTTGTTCCTCTCATATATGATAGAAGACAAGTCTCCTAGTGGCCTCTCGTACGTTGAGTTTTTAGTGCATATCCACCGGCAGATTCAAACCAAAATGTCTTGATTCTTCGTCGTCGTTTCCTTGGGGTTTTAGTTGCAAGTTCTGATAACTTTTACATGGGGGCACTTACGAGGATCAAGTCGTAAGAAGAAATATTAGACTTGTTCACCTATATGTGTGAGGCCCCATCCATTATTATTGTTCTGATGGAAAGTGGGTGAAATAGTTTTGTGATAGGGGGATTATTGGAGCTTTATATTGAGAGATGTAAATGGAGCGGATCAACAAAAAAACATGTTTTTTCTCCTTTTTAGGCACAAGTTGATGTACACGTGCGTTATACGTGGAGCAATTGAGTTATAATTTTGATTTGTTTTGTTTTTTTCTTTTTCGCTTTTTATGTACATGAAGGACACATAACATAATAATCATGCTACATTGGCAAAGATAGTACACAAATATTTCATAGTACGTTAGTTCTTTACATCCATGCAAACAAGTTGATATGTTTTATTTATACAAATTTTAAATGTCAATAGTTATGACCAACTTTTAATTACTTATAATGCAGTTAAAAAGTACAAAAAAGAAATGCTACTTGAGATTTGAAACGATTTGCATACTTGAGAATTGAAATAATTTTATGTTGTTATCACAATCTTATCTCTTATCTATGTGAAAGAAATATTATGATAAATATAGAAACTTAGGTAACCAGTACTTGAGTAGAGAAAGCGCAACTCTAAAATACTTTTCAATTTTAAGGAAACAAGATACGAAGTAAAGGATATAGTAGAAAATACTAAAGAAAATAATATTAGAATAATCTCTAAACATTTTTCTTTAATTTTGTTCAATATATTTTGAGAGCTAAATGCAACTTTCTTTAATAAGAAAAGAGGCACCATTAAAAATTAATACAAAATTTAGTATTGTATTTTTGTATTCTTAAAGGAAATTGTTGTCTTTTTATATTTTATGAAGGACAATTTAGGTAACAAAAAATGTTGATCTCAATATAAATAGTAATATTTATATAATAAAGTAGAATGATTTTGAATTTAAGAGACAAAGAGCGGTTCAGATCGTTTCGAGATCAAAACAGACATCATTTAACGGTCGACGATATTTCAAACTGTTTCAAATTATTGACGTCTCAGATCGTTTTGATCTGACGTATAATATTAGCTCTTAAAATTTTTTTGCCGCTTAAAACTTTTAGTTTCTAAAACTAACAGTCCTAAATTTAATTCTTCAACCTAATAAAATCCGGCAATTAAGCGATCTCTCATTCCTCAATTCTGACTTTCTCTCCCTAAAATACAGATTATAAATCTTATCATTATTTTTTTGATTTTATTACCTATGTTAAGAGATTACTTTCTATACTGAGACATTGACTGTTTTTCATACTCTCATATTTTATGATTCTCTTTCCAAACTGAGACATACGTCTCTCCAAAATTTTATCCTAATGCAACTACTGTTTATATCACACACACATCTTTATTGTATATATATATATATAATACAAAGATCGAAGACATACTATATCTACATGTTATATCTTAGGAAAAATTTCATCTAAACATCATGTAGTTGAGTCTATATTCAATGACAACCCTTATAACAATATTTTTTGTCTCTGTCAATAGATAAAATAATGATTTAACTAAATATTTTATGAAAAAACTAAAATTACTCTTTATTATATAAATAGACTAAAATGTCATCAATTTTTTTTCTATTATATATGCGCTAGCTAGCTAACAAACGTAATTTCAATCATTATATTATCCCAATGAATTTTTTTATTTTAAAACGTTGTATTATAACTTTGTTATAATATTAGTCATCATATTATCACTCATTTGGTTACATAATCAAGTTTTTATAATTTTTATATTTTTTATCATAATAATTTTTATAGTTAAAAATAATTTTTCTATAATAAAAATTACAATTGATAAAGTCAATGTCAAAATCTTATCCATTTCTAATTTCTTTGCTATCATATGTCCTCCACAACGTCGCCCGACCGCTCTTCACAGATCATACTTAATATATAAAATTTAAAATTATTTGATAAAATTTAATATTAAATTGAATAATTTTGATCTTAATTTGGATAAATTTAAATATTAATTTAGTTTTAATTTGATAAAATTAAATATTAATTTAGTATTAAATTCCATTAATTTAATGTTAATTGAATAATTTGAATGTTGTTTTAATAAAACTAAATGTGCATTTGGAGTTAAATTAAAGAAATGACATTAATTTGATAATGTTAAATTTTAAATTAATGGAATTTAATATTCTATTTAATAAATTAAATAGTTTAATTTAATAAAATTGAATTTCAATTTGATGTTGATTTGATAAAAATAAATAATAACTTAATATTAAATTAAAGAAACAATATTAATTTGATGAAATGAGATATTAAATTAATATAACTAAATGCTAATTTGATAAAATTAAATATTGATTTTGTATTGATTTGATGAGATGAAATGTTAATTTAGTTTAAATTAAATAAAAAAAATAAAATTGATAAATTTGAATATTAAATTGATCAAAATAAAGACTAATATAATAGAACTAAAAGGAAGTGTATTGAAATTTCAGAATCAAGAAGGGGTGTTGTTAAAATTAGGTCTATTTACAGGGTGTGTTGTTAAAATTAGGTTTATTTATAAGGGGTGTGGATAAAATTTGCCCTATAAAATACTTGGGATATTTTTATAAATCAACAATCGCCATTAACAGTGTAACCTAACAATCACTAATAGGGAGTAACAGTAAAATTTTAAAATCGGAAGGAGGTGTCATTAAATTTAGACCTAACTACAGGGGATCTGAATGAAATTTTTCCTTATATCTATACAAATTTATATAATAAAATACACAGAAAATTGAATTTTATCCCCTATACATTTTTCACCCCCAAAACCATCACATATTTGTCGCATGCTCAACTATTTTGATTAATTTGTAATTTAACATAATTTTTATTTCAGATATTATCCATACACGATAGTATAGATTTGTTAAAAAAAAATTATCGAATTATATATTTTGAGAAAATTTTGTCAATATCTTTAAAAAAAATAATGGATAAAAATAAATTTTGAATGATTTAATCAAACAAATGAAAGAAAGAAAAAATATTATTTAATGTAGTGATATCGATTTTTTAGGACTCGATTTTTTTGTTTTATCGTGCCTTTAGACATGAATTATGACTAGTATAAATATATAGATCAAGAATACCAATAGTTACACGGTTAAGGTATAGAACTAAACAATGACTTGGACTTAAAAAGATAAAATTGACCTTATAATATTGATTGAAGAAAAATTAAGATATTTTTTTAAAATAGTCTTTTATTATTAATATAGATATAGATATGTGTGTACAACATATTGAATAGGCAAGAAGAACATAGATGCACGACTTCAAAGATGACGTTTTAATTAGTGAAATACAGAAGAGTAAGAAATCTTGATTAATAATTAATTCTATTCTTGTTCTCTAATTAATATATTAATTTGAATTAATTGAAAGTGTAATTGATGGCAACTTTTGAGTAAAAAAAGAGAAGGTGAAAAGTCGTTGCACCCTTTCAATAAATAGATAAACTTTTATGTTGAATAACATTTATAATATATTTATTCATGGTAATTTAGATAATTAAGAAATATTAGAGGGTGAAAGAGAAAAACAAAATTTTTTTCAAGATACATATTTTTTGAATTAGTATAGATATAAATTTTTATCCGTTTGCTCATTGTCTTTTCCTCTTTATTAGATTGTGCGCAAAGGTGGAAAAGAGAGTGTATGACCAAGTCTTAGAATCAAATGTGCAATAAATAGTCTTGCATTCGGTACCCCCCTCTCCCCAAACAAAACCAAATTGGATGTCTAGTTGATTAGAAAAAAAAATTGTGAATAGAAATCCTATAGGAATGCAACCAAAACAAAAGCCAATCTGGTAGGAGTCTGATTACTTGGTCAGTACTTCAACAGATTGAGTTCATACATCATTCCAACCACAAAAGCAAATAATGTGAGCTAGATGCTAGATAAATTAGCAGGGGTGACATGCCACATCTGGATCTAACATTGTTCTGGGGAGTGTTTTGAATCTTCAAGATGATCATTCTGCTACGCAGCACCTCCTCTGTAATACTCTACCCTTCAGGACTGTTCAACTATCCTTGTACAAGTTCTTAAAAACTCTTGCATTCCTTTCCATCCATACAGCATGTACAGTAGCAGCTAAATAGTGCTTAAGCATTTTCACTTTCAAAGTTTTACCTTTCCAGTCCCCTGATGCAACCTAGATGAATGATTGCCAAGAGGTAGGCCGCCATACTGACTCACACATCTGGAAAAAATATTCATTGCAATGGTGATACCACGTCAACATTGATGACATGGTATTACCAACAAGTAATATGTAAACAAATAGGAAAACGAATCCCACACAAACTAATAACTACCTGTCCATATAAGTTAATAATTATCAACTCTTCTTTCATGTAAGCCAATAACTACTTAAGTAGAGTTCACTTTGTCCATTTGAGATTATGTTATTAGTAGGTGATACCATGTCTTCAATGCTGATATGATATCACCGTTGTATTAAATATTTTCCCCACAAATTTGTAGCATAGCACTCCACACCCGAGGTGAAAGGACACTCAAAAAACAAATGAGCACGAGTTTCATCCTCATTTATGCAGGTAGTCCCCACACACCATGCATATAAGACTTAATATGATCTTTTTGTGCTTAATTTTTCATGCATACCCAACCATAACATGAAGCTCATTCTTGGGATTGCTTGCCCAAACTAGATGAGTTTATGTCGGTGCACCTTTGGTGAGTGGGATGACAAGCAATTCCATGCGTAGTGAGACAAGAATAAACACCATGAGGATTAGGCAATCACTTGTCTTGACTACACCAAGTTTAATTTTGAATTTTAATTATTGCATTGCATTAGAACAAGAACAACAAAAAATATATATAAAAAAGGAGCAAAAAGTAGTTAGAAAACTTAATAAATGAATCAAAAATAACCCATCACATATGACACAGATTGGAAAATACAGGATTCACACACCATAGGAATTCATTTATAAGCTTCCTATAAATGTGTCAGTTTTTGAATAAACAAATTCTAACACTATCCAATTTCAACACGACAAGGATCTAACACGACACAACACGACACATGCTTCCTTAACATTACCTTGTTAAGCAAAGTAATGCAAGATATAGTAGACATAGGCTGCACCACCAAGTCATCGGTCACCATATATGTGACCACCCCTTTTAACATATCCTCCCTGATCACCAGCCGATGCCACCTTGTCATGCGTCACAGCCTGCAGAACGTGGGGCACCTCAACGCACAAAGAATAGCTGTAAGAAGGACAGATGGCACACAGGTCATCAACAATGCCTAGGTGATTGTAGGGGTTTGAGCACTTGTAGAACTTCTTGACCTTGACAATTGGGACATCATCAAGCAACGTAGGTGGAGCTTCAGCAGAAAGATTTTGGGGTTCTAGAGTAAGATCTTGTCGTGATTGAGTTGCATATAGATTTCGCTTAAGTTTTCTATGATCATGTAGAGATTACCGAGGCTACCCACCATGGACTGCTTTGTCAGAAGCTTGATGACAGCCCCAACAGGTAACAAGAGCAGGTTGAAGAGGAAATTGAGGAAGTCTTTGCCAGCTTCAGCAAAGAGTACGTTGTGATTTTCATGTCGAGAAGCTTCAAGGTCACTTTGGAGGCTGCCATTGCTGTGATCTAGGGTTAGAATCAAGAGATCCTTTGTTGATTCTCAGGTGGTTTTGGGACTGCTGCTTATAAACAGGGAATATTGAGGGTGAAATTATTGAGTGTGCTCCTGTGGGTTGGCTCAAAACCTTTTTGAAAAGTTTGATAGTACTAACTAAAGTATCATTCAACAACTGTTCTTTTTGAACTGGATTTCAAAAGAATCAATGAATTGGATCTACTAAATATTACCTCAAATTTGTACATTAGTCCCCCCCCCCCCACACACACATTATTCACGGGATAGCTAAGTAATTCTTTTTCATCCAATGAAAACAATCAATTTTACATGTTTATTTGAATTAATAAAAATGATATCGCTCTTTCTTAATCTTAATCTTAATTTTAATATTTCAATTAATGATTTTCATATTTTTGTGAAGCAAAAAATTTAATAGTTCAGCAGTGCTTATAGGCCCCATTTTTTTTTTTAGCCACACTTGCAAAATAAACACCGAGACTTGTAACCACTCGTTAACCAAGAGTCAAACCAGAGCCTTACAAAATAAAAGCAGAACATATTCATGCTTTCAGCCAAATAACCTCTTCAATATAGGTTTCATAAATCCTCAAAACAACATAGCTAGAAATCTCATTCAAAATCAACTATTGACAATATAAACTTTAGAGGGAGAGTAGCATATACTTAGGTCACTGTATCCCCAAGGAAGACACTGGTCAGCACTGACTTGGACTGCAAAGATGCCTTCAGCAGCTTCGAACCCTAACAAAGAAACCACATTCTTAATCAGCAAGACAAATATTTTCTTTTTTTCAAGAATTGCCTCAATTTGGCATTGTTTTTAGAACTAATGTAAGTTTTGGATGTATGCAACCGTTCCTTAATTACACATATCAGAATAATATAGGGGATCAAATATGGGATTTCAAAATATTAATCCGATACCCTTTCATGATGTTTGGAAGCAGGCTACTAACATAGTTTAGAGGAATCAGAACATGCTGGGCTAAAAGAGTGAACAATGCTCTCAATTCTTCACACTACCTCTCAATCCCACACAAAAATTGATACGAAATAATCATGTATAACTTTAATCTTAATGAATTCAACTCATAATAAGATCAACCAAGTAGACGTATTCAACAAATGAATAGATATGTGACTGCAACATATGATATCCAACACAACACAAACGTGACTGTACACAATAACAAACACATAGACATATGTTATGTGAACTTCTGTATGTAAAATGTGAAAATATAACTAATAATTATTTACAGTATCAAAATGCATACCTCAGTCATTCCCAAATCAACAACCCTCTCCTCAAGAGCACCCACTTCCTTAACATTAAACTTGTTAAGCAAAGTAATGCAAGAGATAGTAGACATAGGCTGCACCACCAGGTCATCGGCCACCATATACGTGACCACCCCTTTAACATATCCTCCCTGATCGCTGGCTGCCTCTTTCTTGTCCTTCGCCACAGCCCGCCCAACGAACGACACCTCACTGGACATAGAATAGTGGCAAGAAGGACACGCGATACGCGGGACATCGGTGATGGAAAAGTGAGTGCAGCTGTAGTTCGAGCACCTGTAGAACTTCTTGTTCTGAGCCACTGGGACAACATCGAGCAGCAAAATTGAAGCTTTGGCAGCGAAGGTTTGAGGGTTTAAGAGAGAGTTCTTGTCTTGGTTGGGTTGCATATAGATTTCGCTCAAGTTTTCGATGCTATCATAGAGGTTACCAATGCTACCCACCATCGATTGCTTTGTGAGAAGCTTGATTACAGTACCAACAGGTAAAAAGAGGAGGGTGAAGAGGAAATCGACGAATTCTTTGCCAGCTTCGGCGAAGAGGACCTTGTGACTTTGCGTGTCAATGAGAAGCTTCAAAGTCACTTTTGATGTTGCCATTGTTGTAATCTGGGGTTTGCAATGAAGAAGGGCTGCGTTGATTAGAGGGAGGGGTGTCAGCTCGCACCGACCCGACACAAATATACTAAATAAACTTTCTTTTTCGTGAGTTACAGCACACGAATAACAACGATACAACACAACTAATACGACATGCGGAGTATATGAACACGACATGATTAACACTCTTAATTAGAGATAGGGGTGACCATGGACCGAGATACCCACGAATCTCATTATCCACTCCAAAAAAAATAGGACTAAAATCCAATACACCCGATAATTGATCCGTCCAAACTAGAGCCCAATATTTTAAAATAGAGGGTTTAGGTTTGCTTCTAAACCCATTACCCGACTAGAAGCCCGGCCCAATAACCCACCCTAAAAATCCATTAAACTCTGACCCGAGATCCCGCCTGCCCACCATTTCTTTAAATTTTTTTTTTATTTTTTCAACCATTAAATTTGAAATTTTGAATTAACTTTCTTAATATCGGAATTTGAAATTTTAAAAATTTAGATATTATAAATAATATAGTATTTTCTTTTCTATATATTAATTATACAAGTTTTAAATGATAGAGTAATGCAAATGATAAAAAAGTAAATAAGTGATAATCTAGTTGAAATATATTCATTCTATTAGAAGTAGTTCATCCTCTAATAAAAAATAAAATTATCTATGTATTAAATACAAGTTTTAAATAGTAGAGTAATGTAAATGATAAATAAGTGAATAGTTCACCCTCTAATAAAAAATAAAATTATCCATGTATTAAATACAAGTTTTAAAGAGTAGAGTAATACAAATGATAAATAAGTAAATAAGTATCAACCTAGTTGAGATGTATTCATTCTATTGGATGTAGTTATTAATCCCCTAATCAAAAATAAAATTATTCATTATTTTATTTTTATTCATTTTGATTTTACTTTTAATTCAAAAATATAATTTACACAAATATTAAGTTACAAAAATATTAATTATTTTTAAATAAAGTTGTATATAAAAAAACTCGCGAGCAGGTTCGTCCAACAAGCCCGCTCAAAAGGCCTGCCCAAAAAATTCACGGGTTGGATTATGGATAGCCTATCCCTATCCTAAACCCGCCCTGTCCCGTCCGATAAATAACTTGGGTAAGACCTAGAGCCTACGCTATCCAAGTTCGATCCGAAAAAAATTTGTGGGTCTAACCCGATTGGCCCCTGGACACCCTTAATTACAGGTTTTGGTATTGCTTTGTTGCTAAGGACGACATTTCGGGCCTACTTTATGGGAAAAAAGGTGGACATTATTGGGATGGTCGGCTCAATCATGAACTCATTTGAATTTTGAAGGATTGGATTTTCTAAAACTTGTTTAGCTTTCAGATAACCAATTAAACCCAAAAAGATACCATCAAAATGCATATTATCTCTTGGATGCATGATTTCTATCAATTTTTTTAGTGAGGTCCACTTGTTTTATATTTATCCAAGACATGATATGCATTTAAATTAACTTTCATATTTTATTTGGGTTATATAACATTTTCCTTTAATAAAAAGATTTTTATAGTATTATTTTGGCATCTCAATCGTGTTGGGTTTTAGAGTATCTCTAACAATGACTCAAACTTAAATTCAAATTTGAGAAATTTTTTTTATCTAGTATAGAGTATATTTCAATAGACAAACTTAAATATCTATTCAAATCTTTCAAAAAATTCTTTCATTGTCCTAAAGCTTTTTTTTTTTTGTAATTTAAATCATGAAATTTGATAAAATAAATGAAACTCTCATATTTCTCTACAAATGAGTAATTCAAAAAAAAATTGAATATAAACACAACAACATCTTAGAATAAACAAAAACAGAAAAAATAAAAGAAAATTGTTCTAATCTCTTACATTCTTTTGTAAATCTAGATAAAGAAAAAGAAAAAGAAAAGATAATTACTTTGACAGGGTTTGGTCTAAAAAATACAAAAAATGGATCGTTTTCAACAAAAATAGATGATTGGAGAAATAAAACGACGAATTTTTTAAATTTGTGGGTAACGAAGGTTTGAAATTTCAGGAAAAATTGCTGACTTGAAATTGCACCACCGATAGTGTTTAACTCGAAAAAATCAAAGAAAATTTTGATGAAGGCTTAAAGTTTATATAGAATGAAAGATGAATGAGATTAGAGTTTTGAAAAACGCAAGAAATTAAGAAGATGGAAGATGAAAAGGAAGAAGCTTACCCAGGGGTCTTCAAAGAATTTGAATGCTTTGGTGGTGGTCACTGATGGAAGCTGTGTAGAAGAGGGAAGCAATTTAGAAGAGCGAGGTAGTGAACAAGTCGTTAAATAAGTCTTTTGAACTTTGTATAGGGTCAAAAGTTACTTTTAAAAATTTGGTATAAAATTTGAGTCTTTCTCAATTTGAGCTTAGAATAAATTTTTGCTTGATTTGGTATATGTTTAGGTCCTAGGTTGGAGAAAATTTTTAGACCATTTAGACTCAAATTTAAATTTGTCTCTAAATTAGAGTCAGGGTTAGAGATACACTTAACGGTTGTGTAACAAAAATATTTAATTCATACTCAATACGTTGGTTAATTTATGTCTAATAAATCCTGTCATATTAGGTTTGTGTCGTGTATGAATCGTGTATAACCACCATATAAATAAGTTTTGTTTTATATTTTTTTGATTGACTTCACCTATATTCGATTTATTTATTAATTATATAATGTTAGGTCAATTTATTTACGAAACAACGGGTTTAAGAAAAATCTAAATCCTATAATTTTATTTTGTAATATTTCGTATCATATTTTTACACTTCTCATATTATTATGTTTGAATATTCCAACCCTAACTTTTTCTCCATAAAGTCACACAAAAAAAGGAAGTCATAATTGAGGACTATTCCTCTTTATGGAACTATGTGATCCGAACCGTCACGATTTTTTGATCGACGTTTGAAATTGGACGACGTATATACAAATTGGAAACTTTAGGAACCAAATAGATATAATTGAAAGATTGAGAACCAAATAGACATTAAACATATACTTTGAAGACTAAACGTATATTTTACCCATTATAGGATATTAAAAATTTAAAACATTCATAATATTTTTCTTTTCGATTCCCCCGCTTTTGATTCCCAGCTGTGATTACTGTAAAATGCATGACTGGTGTTCGACAAATGATTTATATACGTACCTCAGTCATCCCAAAATCAACAATCCTTTCTTCAAGAGCACCCGCTTCCTTAACATTAAACTTGTTAAGCATAGCAATGCAAGAGATAGTAGACATAGGCTGGCACCACCAAGTTATCCACCACCATATAAGTGACCACCTCTCTAACATATCCACCTTGATCACCAGCTGACCCCTCCTTGCCCTTGGCCACAGCCCCAACAATGTAGTGCATCTCACTGGACATATCAGAACTGTGTTCAAGACAGTAAACACTCAGATCACCAGCGATGTGTTTGTAACATTTGGGACATGAATAGAATTTCTTGACCTCTGAGACATCTTCGAGCAACAAAAAATTGGAGTATCGATATCTGGTGTTGTTGAAAATGGTCTTCAATATGCACAATCACAAAGAACACTAACCCAATTTTTTCAATTTAATTGGTATTTTTCCAATAACACTAACCCAATTTGTCCCAAATTTTCTGCCAGAATTCATCGACATGTCATTGAAGTCTAGCTAAATCTCCAATTATTATTCGATAATCATTGGGTAATGGATTATTATAATTTTTGTTAAAACATATAGTATCCGTATCCTACCATCAACAACCAATCCCAATTCTTCCACTCTTTTCCATTCCATATACAAATTGGATTGGCTTCTAATGGGGACGACATTAGTACTGGACGGTGCTTTGAATTAGAGTTTAAAAAAAAAGAAGGGAATCTGGTAGTAGTGAGAGCATGTGTTTTTATAGAGAAAAATGATAAATTTATTAGTTATAATACCATTAGTTATTGCATGTGCTTAAAGACACAAAATAATAAAAAAAAATGGTTAATAATAAATATATTTATATTCACGTCTAAAATCAAATTACAAACATAGGACAAAGAAAAAAATTTAAACACCGATTGTAGTAATGGTAGTGGGAGACAGACAGACAGACAGTAATGATTGTGGTGGGTGGCGACGACTGTGGTGATGATGGTAATCATGGGTGGTAATGGTGATGCTGGCAGTGAATTTTTGGTGATGATGGTGGTAGTGACAGTTATGAGTGACGGCGGTAGTTGTTGTTGGCGACGGTGATGGTGATTGATAATGGTAGAGGTGAGGTGACGACGGTGGTGGGCAATGATGAAGGAGGTGGTGGGCGACGACAAGTACTTCTGGACGACAGTATGATGAGTTATGGTAAATAGCGGTGGTGATGGTGGTAGGTGTGGTTGGGATGGGTGACAGCGGGTAGCAATAGTGATGGGTGATGACAATTGGAGGTGGTAAGTTTGCTGGAGGTGGGTGATAGTGACTGGCGACGATGGTGGACATTGATGGGTGGTGGTAAGTTTGACGGGGGTGCGCGATAATGACTGACGACGATGGTGGACAATGATGGGTGGTGGTGGGTTGTGGTAGTGGACGACGATGGGTGGTGGTGAATAATAATGATAGTGGTGAGTGTTGACGGTGATAATGATAATAAATATAAGAAAGAGATAAAAATTGTGATGGGTGATAGCAGTGGACGACGGTAATCGCAATCGGTGGTGGGTGGCGATAGTGGTGGGGTGACGACGGGGTGGTGGTGGTGGGGCTGGGTTGATGATAGTAGTGGTGGCGACGGCGACATCGACGGTGGAGGTGTTTGTGATGGTGGTAAGGTGACGACAACGGTGGTGGTGGTGGGGGTGGGGTGGTTTCAAATACAATTTTTTTAAAATATTTATAAGTAGTTATAANCGTTGCCGATAGTGCTTAAATCCGAGCAACACTGTTCCAGAAATCCCGAAGACACGTGTCTTCATCATAGGACTTTTCAGAAGAGTCCCATCCGTAACGCACAACTATATTTTGGAAAAGAGAGGCTAACTAGGGATCAATATTGGTTTTTACCCATTAGTAATGTAAAAGCCAATAGTTTGCTAGTTTAGTCCAGTANGTGGGGTGGTTTCAAATACAATTTTTTTAAAATATTTATAAGTAGTTATAAGTTCTAGAAATACTTTTAAAAAATCACTCTAAACACACCCTTAGAAGTCTATTTTTCCTATTAAATTTAAGGTATTAATATTAGCCGTCAGATTAACTTTAGAGTAAAATTTAAAAAGATTTCGACCGCTAAAATTAAAAATTATTTTATTTACCTTTTTGAGATTTGAATTGTATTGTACTTTATTATATAGATTATAAATTTCAATTGTTAATTTTGAAAACAAGTCATACTTCTAGTGAGCCCCTTACTAGTATGTTGCCAATGTGACCAACAGAGCTGGTCAAATAATTCTTCATTATCTCTCTTTTTAGTTCCATTATTTTAGTTCAAACAATTCGATATCTACAACATACGAACTCAAATTTTTTCGCTTACTATTTGAATTTGAATTTTTATAACTGTAATTGCCCAATAGGACAATTTAAACTTATTTTTTAACATCTAGAGTCTGTGGTGGAACATTAGTTTCGGCCACGGTATAGATGGGGTCCGCCACAAATTGCTAAATCGTATTGACTTTGCTCCTTAACGGTTATGTATTTTAGTAACGCACAACTATATTTTGGAAAAGAGAAGCTGACTAGGGATCAACATTGGTTTTTACCCATTAGTAATGTAAAAGCCAATAGTTTGCTAGTTTAGTCCAGTAAACTAGATCAAGTAAAATGCTTGATTTACCTAAACTTTGAACATTAAACGAGTAAGAGTACGATCAACACTACATCATTTGATCCCAAATTTTTAAAATTTATTTTTTAATCAATCAAGCATTATCTCTAGAACAATTGCTCATCTGCATGCAAAGAGTGTCATGGTGTTGGCCAAGCAAAATGAGGAAATGCTGTTCCGCCATAATCCATTGAAAAACCCAAAATCAGGAATATGGTGTTACAACATATTAAAAACCCATAGATATTAAAAACCCAAAAGAGGACCTGAAGGTTCATTGTTGTCCTTAATGTTCGAATACTCCTCTCTCTCCTCCCCTGTACCGTTACGATCCAAAGAAAACCCAAAAAGAGAACAAAACATCATATATATTCATCCTTATGCCTGCATATTTCAAAGGTAGATGTTGGTCAGGACTCCCTTAGTCTTCAACGATGCCATCAGCAGCTTCAAACCCTAGCAAGAAACCACATTCTAAATCCGTTACTTGACAAAAACAACATTGCTTCCAAAGCTTGGAGCAAAATGGAGGTTGAACCTAAAATCATAATGTGTATAGTTTCATGGCATAACATATTATTAGTCCTTAAATTGTGCATTTTGTGTTAATATGGTCCTCGATCATTCAATTGTGTCAAGTTGTTCTACTAATTATTCTATTTGTGTCACTTTAATCCAATAAAAAATATTAGTTTAACTCATTAATGGAAAGACTCACGTGCATCTCATGTGATCATTATTGAAGGACACTTTTTGGAAATGAAAAGGATTAAAAGGAAAAAAATTGTAAATGTGAACGACCAAAATAACAATATAAACTTCAGGGATCAAAGTAACATGTGAATACCTCCATTAATCAACTTAAATCATCATTCTCAAGTGGACTAAAATGACACAAATTAAAAACTTAAAGTGACTAAAATGATACAATTGAAAGAAAACACATATTTTAGGGACTATTACTATGTCTTACAGTAGTTTCAAAAAGAAATGTTATGCTACCCGTCTTAAATCCCAAAAGACTAAACCCAACGACATCTTCACACACCTTACAATCTATAAAAAAGATGATTTATTCGGATCCACAAAGTGATGAAATTTTTGGGATACAAGTTAGCAGCATAATATTTCTCAATTTGAAAATGATAGTTGAATCTGAGATCATAAACCAATGCATGACAGATATTGGAAAATTGAATGCAATACCTCTTTCATTCCAAAATCAACAACCCTCTCCTCAAGAACACCAACTTCCTTAACATTAAACTTGTTGAGCATAGTAATGGAAGAGATAGTTGATAAAGGTTGCACAACCAAGTTATCCATCACCATATATGTCACCACCCCTTTAACATATCCTCCCTGATCACCAGCAGACGACTCCTTGTCCTTGGCCAAGGTCCGAGCAACGTAGGTCACCTCCCTGTTGATACAAACGTTGCACTTAGGACAGACAACACATGGGTCATCGGAGATTTTTTTGTAACACTGGGGACATGTATAGAAGTTCTTGACAGGTGAGACATCCTCGAGTGACAAAAATGAAACTTCAGAAGCAAACGTTTTGGGGTTTAGGAGCGATTTCTTGTTCTGGTTTGGTTGCAGATATGTTTCACTCAAGTTTTCAATGCTCCCATAGAAAGTACCCAAGCAACCCACCATGGAGTTCTTTGTGAGAAGCTTGATGACTGTTCCAATGGGCAAAGAGAGAAGGTAGATGAGGAAATCAACAAATTCCTTGCTAGCTTCAGCAAAGAGAACTTTGTGACCTTTTGTGTCAACGAGAAGCCTCAAGCTCACTTTCGATGATGCCATTGCTGCCAAGTCTTAGTTTGAAGAGGTCTTATGTTATGTCTGTCTACCTAGAGGTGTTGATCTCTCTCTCTCTCTCTATATATATATAGGTGATTGACAGCCATACATAGAAAAAATGGAACGACGAAAATATAAGTTGTTGCATGCCTATATTGCCTTCCCAAAGGAGTATACGGCTACTTATGATGGTGGATTTCCAATGATTTGGGAACAAGCAAAACAGAAGATAAAAAAAGTAGAAGTTATTATGAGGTGGTTCAAGAAAATTACATAAGGATAAATGCTACTAAAAGCGATTATTATTTGGATTTCCAGGTGTGTTTAAGGTCATGAAATTCATGGTAATTCATTGAGTTCTAAAGGGGTTGTGTAATACTTACTCTGTTCCTAAATATCTATCGTTTAAGATTTTTACACAGAGATTAAAGAATTTATTAAATAACTGTAATATGAGTAAAAAATAATTATACAAAACTAAAATACCCTTATTCAAAACATATTGAGAAGAAAAAGAATATGAAAGAAACTTAGCCTCTACCTAATTTAATGCATTGAAAAGTTAAGGGTAAATTTGAAAAAAAAAAATTAATTATGCTTTGGTTTCATTAAACGACAGATATTATGGAACAAATTTTTTTTTTGTAAAACAACAGATATTTAGGAATGGAGGGAGTATGATTCATTTTAATTAAGCGGATTAATATGAAATACAAATGAGTACTCATTGGGTTGAGTATTTATCTTTTTATTAAATGACATAAGTAATAAAATAAAATAAAATAAATATATTAATATACCAAAAAATACACACATTATTACACAAAAAAATACACACATATATACTATATACCAAAACATACACACACTAGTATACCAAAAACACACACACTAATGCACCACCCATGACCCACGGGTCGACCCACAACCCACAGGTTGACCCATGATCAAAACCCATGAGTCGTCCCATAACCCACAACCCATGGTTAACCCATAACTTATGGGTTGACCCATGACCCACGGACCAACTCATAGCCCACAATCGACCTCGATCCATTATGTGCGTATTTTTTTTATTAAATGTATTTAATATATATGTGTGTATTTTAGTGTATTAGTGTATATATTTGTAGTGTATTAATTTGTGTGTGTTTTGATGTATTAGTGTGTGTATATTTGTATTTTGGTGTACTATTAATATGTGTGTGTGTTTTGGTGTACTAATGTGCCTATTAAGAATTTTAATTATTTTATGGATTAATCGGTTTAACTCAACCCGTTATAAATCCAACCCATTATAATTCATTTACTAAATGAGTGAAAAATGGATTGAATTTATTTTAACTCAATCCAATTTAATCCAACCCATAATCAACCCAACCCACCCATTTACCACCTCTACTGTACATGAATTACGTATAATTGGTATATAAACGAGTTGTATTGTGTATTTCTTTTGATTGATTTCAACCATATATAATTAATTTATTAATTATACCATGTCAGGTTTACTCATTTATGAAATGGACAACTTAAGAAAGATGTAAATCCTTTAATTTCGTAATGTATTTGTATCGTGTGACACCTTAATCAGGACAGAGATAGCAATGCTCAGCAAAAGAGCAGTGAAGCAAATGGACATCTGTTAGGTGCTGCTTTGTCAGCACACAAGAAAAAATATGTAAGAGGCCAAGCCAACTTTTAAAGAAGGGGAAAGGCCAGTCTTTTGAAACTCATTGTTAGCAATGAGCTATGGGGCAGTCATTGATTAAACCAATATGAGCTTTTTAAGGTCATGTCTAACCTTGACACAATTTTTTATTTAAATTTGAATAAAAAACTTAATTTAATATAAAATACTTCAAATGATAGACTTAAATTTAAAAAATGTCAAACTCAAATTTAAGTGATGGTAAAATCTAATTATTGAATCTTTAAAAGGGAGAGAAATGTCACTATTAGAAATTTGCATAAAGATTTGAGTCTTTCTTGATATGAAAAAATGTTTGAGTTGGAAAAATGATATACTTACGAAATTTTCTATTCCAAATGATTTATCACAATCTTTATCATTGAATATTAATGGAGCCCACTTATTTGATAGGGAAAAATTGTACCACATCATTTTAGATGGAAATTTAGTAAGAAAATTTGATAAGCATAGCATTATCTATTTATTGCGAGTCTGAATAAATTAAGGACTAAAACTTATTTTTGCCAATTTTTACTCAAATTTAAAGTTGTTTAGAGGGTGGAGATGTTCTAATTTTTAAAATATGTTCAATTGTATACTTTATTTAATTTCTAGTCATGTAATCACTACAAAAAAAAAATATAGATTCAAACTGAAAATTTTTCCCAAGTAAAAGTGAAATATTTGTCGGAAGCCCAAAATTTTTTTTCCTCCATAATTGAATTAAAGTTTGTTATGGCCTTCCTGGGTAATTTTTTTTGGTTGAAAGTGCATGTTTTGCTATTTTCAAACAAGTTAACACTTTTCTTTCGATTTCTCTTTCTAGTTTTGTGGATTTTACCCTGTTTAAAACAAATGGGTATCCTTCTATTTGATTTTTATACCAAATCTTTAGAAAATTTTTACTCCGTTTCTGTTCTGTACTGACATGCTTTTGTTGTCTAGCATTGTTGTTGTTGTTGTAACAATATTGGTGACTCTCTAATGCTTTTATTTCTATTGTTTTTCTGGGTTTTGTTTCCTTTCCTGACTCTATTTTTTTTAATTGTTTCTCCGATTCTATTGGTTTTTGATTTGAGGCTTATCACGATTTAGATTTTCTCATGGTTCTCATGAATTTAATGACAATTCCAAATATATTACTCCAGGTCAGGAAGGCAAAGGTTGTATAAAGTAGAAAAACATGGCGGCCGAAGGGAGAAACCGCCGTGCTCTGGGTTGCATTGGGAATCTGGTTACTGGTCATGGAATAGATTACAAGCCATTGCCCCATGTCTCTTGCCCTGTTACAAGTCTCTCTCTCCCTATATATATATATATATGATGCTCAGAAATGGCAGCCCAAGTCCAATAACTGATGTTCTGGGGATATTAATGGATTTAGCTGATTGAGAGGTTAATCTACGAGGAATAAAAGAGCATAAAATGTAAGTGGTTCACCTCAGTCGAAAAATTAAGATTACGTCCACTGTAATGAAATTTCTTGTTTTTTGAGATCATATATTACTTGAATTGTGATGAATACAATGATATAACAGGCATTTGGCCTTTACTAGAATGTATGCTTCCTGCTGTACTTGCTGTGTTTAGGGCTAGAGTGTAATGGGGAAGAAGATCCTCTGTTTTAACATGACAATGGTGTCTTATTTATTCCAGTGCTCTCCCTAGGGTTTCCTGTAGCTCCTCGTTCCTTTCTTGTTAATTCGGTGGGCCTTTTCGTTGTGTCCTATATCAATCTCTGTCATCTNTGTCTTATTTATTCCAGTGCTCTCCCTAGGGTTTCCTGTAGCTCCTCGTTCCTTTCTTGTTAATTCGGTGGGCCTTTTCGTTGTGTCCTATATCAATCTCTGTCATCTGTTGTTACTGTTTTCACGATCTCTGGACGGTTATGTGCACCACCACCCTCTGCTCCAAGGAATGCGTGATTGCCATGGGTGTCAAGAGTGGTCCCTCTATCTCTAGGATCAAATCAGGACTATCTCGAGCTATCCTTCGGCTGAATCAGATTAGGACTGGGCTGGACCTCGGTTCTTCTGGCAGTGTTGGACTTTACGTTTAGGATTTGGTCCAGTCTGCTCTGGACATTGATAGGCCATGGATTAGGGGTGCAATTTGGACGGGCCAACCCGAATTCAACTCGAGCCTAACCTTAAAAAAACAGGGTTTGAGTTAGAATTTTTAATACTTGAGTTGGGTTTGGGCAAAAAAACTTCAACCCAAATTGAATTTGGCCAAGCCTCGAGTTGTAGGGTTCAACTTGAATATTAAAATAGGGTTAAACATGATTATTAAATCGGGTTGAACCCGAATATACATAAATATATAAATATATTTAATTAAGGTTAGTATTTATCTTCACTTTTTAAAATCAAAATTTNATTATTAAATCGGGTTGAACCCGAATATACATAAATATATAAATATATTTAATTAAGGTTAGTATTTATCTTCACTTTTTAAAATCAAAATTTTCATTTCACTTCAAGTTTTCACCCCTGCGTCTTTATCACTCTCAAATACTTCTCTCATTCGTCACTCCTTCCCCTCTCAGCCTCCCTCTCTCAATCGTCACTCGTCTGAATCGTCTCAGACTCTCAATCTCCCTCTCTCACTCATCATTCCTCCTTCTCTCAGCCCTCTCTCATCATCTGCGTCTCGCCTTTCATTTCAGATCACTTAAAAAAATCAGATCTACACTTGAAAAAATCAAATCTACACTTCAAAAAATTAACCTGAATTAAGTAACCAAAGTCAACCCCGTTTTTAACCCGAAATCAGTCCGAATTAAGTAACTCGAATTCAACTCGAGCTCTCGGGTTGAGTATCTCGGGTTAAGGTAGGGTTAGAGTTAAAAATTATATATCTAGATTGGGATAGGGTTGACCTTTTAACTCGTCCAAGTTACACTCCTACTGTGGATGCCCCTATACGGGCCACTACGTAAACAAGACTTTTCTGGGTTTATTGGGCTATTTGATTATGGCGGCCCATTCTGAGGATCCCATCCTTATCAATATATATACACACACCCATCTATTTAAAGAGGTTTCTTAGCATTTCTTGTTCTATAGTGATTATCTTTCTCTAACTTTCAGAAATAAGTTCTGATTGTGAAGAAGTCAAGAAGGACAAGGGTTTGAATAAGAAAAATTCTGGTGAAGGGCCATCTAGGAAGAAAGCCTCAACTCTAACTTCAGTTCTTACATATAGAGCAAGGTGATAAATGATTTTTTTTTTCAAGACTCTTCTGATTGTTCTTTCGAAAAAATATTTGGGGAAATTTTTCTTCTAACTAAACTAATTTCAATCTTATATTTCAGGCTGCTTGTGGTTTTATTCACAAACCCAAGTTGCAGATTTTTGATATTGATGCTCTGCAGATGTGAATAATGAGTTGGTCGTTNCTCAATCTTATATTTCAGGCTGCTTGTGGTTTTATTCATAAACACAAGTTGCAGATTTTTGATATTGATGCTCTGCAGATGTGAATAATGAGTTGGTCGTTCTCGAATGTGCTTAATCAATTTCATTATGTTTCTGTATGTTGTTATTTTGGAATCAATTACTTTTTCAACTTTACTCCACAGATACCATGATTTTGAACTTAAAAGGGGATGTTTAAGTTCGAACAATTCTTTCTTGTAAACAACAAAAAGAAGTTCAAATCATAGTACTGGAATAAGGTTCGATAATTTGGTCAATGTGTGATTGTGGTGCAGAATGAGAGCCCATTTCATGTCTATATGGATACGCAGTTAGAGATAAATGAGAAGATGAGTGCCATTCTGATAGATTTGTTGATTGATGTGCACAACAAATTCAAGCTCATGCCTGAGATTCTTTACTTCACCATCATTGTTGATCGCTACCATGCGGTGAAAACTCTGGTAAGGAATGAACTGTAGTTACTGGGCATTAGTGCATGGACTTACGCCCACGAAGTGTGAAGAAATTTGGGCGCCTGAGGTATTGTACCACATTAGTTTTTAACCTAGTTTATGCATTGGCCACATTAGTCAAAGTGTCTATCTATTAAACAAACCAAAAAGTTTTTTGAATTGTAATGTGCAGGTCAATGACTTTGTGTGTGTATCAGATAGAGCTTACACCCACCCACTAGCGAGTGTTAGTCATCAAAGTCTCTCTTGCTGATTCTGCCGTGAGTATTTCCTCCTCTTTATGATTGACTCAATTAAGTGTTTTTTTTTTTTTTAAAATTTGGACCATTTCTTGATTTGTGTGTGTCATCCTTGCACAGGGGCCATGCTAATCTTCACTATATCGTTCCAATTTTATCAGATGTCCCTGAAGGGACAATTAAGTGTAGGTGCTAAAAAATAAGTGAATTTGTAGTTGATCAATTTTCAATAATCTTATTTTATATTATATATTGTACCCACAATTACATCTGACTTAGGTATCGCAATTCGCAAGGGTTCCCCAACACGGAACCTAGAACAAGAATTTCACATGAGATCCTGATCAATATTTTTTAGTGGCTGTGTGTGTACATCAGACAGAGATTGCACCCACCAGCAAGTGTTAGTCATCAAAGTCTCTCTTGCTATGATAGACTCAATTAAGTGTAGGTGCTAAAAAAAAAGTTGAGTTTGTGGTTGATCACATTTCAAATAATTATATTTTGTATTACTGTACTCACAATTACATATGACTTAGGTATCAAAACTTGCAAGAGTGGCACAACACGGAACCTAGAACAAATATTTCACATGAGATTCTGATCAGTATATTTTAGTGATTTCTAGGATCGGACAAGATCAGACAAATAAATTTGGTGCTATTGTAAAGTCAACATACCTTATAGATGAATAAATTGAAAGAGAGAGAAAAAAAAAAGGAGTTAGAGATAAGGACAAAGTTTTAAAGCAAGACAATGAGAGTGGAAGGAAGAGAAAGAGTTGGAGAGAGGCGGTGAGAGTAGAAAGAAAGATAGTGAAATAAATTTGAGAGAGATTATTACTTTTAAAAGATATTAAATTATATTCGATACATTTTCTCACAATTTTTCTCAAATTTTGCCTTGTCAACAATCTTCAGGTTCTCAGCTACAAGAGTATCAACTATCATTCTAGAAAATATTTTTTTGGTAATCTCTTATTTTTCACAAATTAAAACATAGCACATGTAAAGATTTTATATTTGACTGTCTGTAAGATCTATAAACCAATACAAGATCTGGGACTCGTAACAAATTTCGATATGGTACCAAAATGGTACTGTAATGCTATGCTTGATTAAGGAAAAAATTGTGTCCCAAAGATGACATTTGAATTGGTATTTTTCCATATCTTTGTTGTCATGCCCCAGTACTTTATTCCATTAACAGTCATTTTTAACTGTTAGACATGACTTCATTTATTAATTCATGTCATATTAGATTCGTATCGTTTATAAATCACGCATACTCGATATATGGTATATAAACGAGTTGTATTGTTTATTTATTTTTAATTGACTTCACCTATACACAATTGATTTATTAATCATTCTGTGTTGGGTTAACTTTTATGAAATGGACGACTCAAAAAAGACTTAAACTCTATAATTTTGTAGCATATTAATGGATTATTTCATATTTTGACTCCCCAATCGAGGATAGAGTAGTGAAGCACATGGACATCTGGTAGGTGCTTCTACACAAGAAAAAAATATATAATATTTAAAAGGTTGGAGATGTTCTAATTTTCAAAAGATGTTCAATTCATACACAATTGGTTTAATTTATAGTCATACAATTAAGTCTGTGTCGTGTATAAATCACTAATCTATATAATAACATACAATACAATTCAAATTTCAAAAGATAGATAAAATGATTTTTATTTTTTGCGGTTGAGATCTTGCTAAATTTTACTTTAAAGTTAATCTGACGAGCAAAACAGAAGATTAAAAAAAGTTGAAATAATTAGTAGCTAGTTCAAGAAGGTTGCATAAGGATAGGATAATGCCACTAAAAGCTATTGGTACATTTTAATATTATCTATAATTCATTGTACTAATATATAATGTAATACATGACTCTTGATATACAATGTATAATATAGACACATATATTATACTTGCTCCTATGACATGAATGTATAATGCATATACATGAACATGAATTTATTTGGATACACATATGACAATATGCATGAATCATCTTTTATTACATACATGTATAATTAGACACATATATGTGCACTTTATTCCATATATGATATATATGTATAAATTGATCATTACTACATACCTGTATAGTTGTATTCATGTACTTTGTGTATACATACATGACTTGAATACATGAACTCTAGAATGTTCTAAGAGCCTATAAATAGGACCTCTAAATGTGCATTTGAAGTTTTTGAACAATCATTCAACGTTTAAACAATACAATACACACTTGAGAGTTAAAACCAAAGAAAAATGTTCTTATTGATAGAGTTTTGGACTTAACCACATGTGTAAAGTTGGTTAGAGTTATAAGATGAAGTTGTTGGTTGTTGTATCTTGGAGGGAATAAGTAAAATGAAAAAATCTCTTCTACATCGGATTTGAGATTTGTCATCCGTAGAGAGCTTAAATCTCCTTAAAGAAAATGAGATACTTGCACTTTAGCCTGAGTTATTTCGTATTAAATTTTTATTATTTTATACTTTACTTCTTAATTTATGCAATTACAACAACAAAATCTATTATGACTTCGGTTTCCAAGGGTGTTTAAGACTACATAATTCATAGTAATTCGTTGAACTCATCATCATCCAAGATGTAGGGAAATAAAAAAAGATATAGGTGTACTATCTGATATATGGTCCAATGGACCACACAATTTTATCGTATCGTATTGGATCTATTCGTTTACTAAACAGGTAGTTTAAGAAAAACTCAAATTCACTAATTTTATATCGTGTTAATGGGTCGTGTCATATTTTGATATTCTTAGTTTTGATATAAAAAATTGACATTTTAGAATTTAATTTATTTTTTCTTTGAATTAGAAATTATCTTTTGATATAAAACTACGTGTAATATCTGATCCAATGGACCACACAATATTGTTAAGCTCCTCCCCCGTCACCTCGGTGTTGCACTATTGCCTTGGTTTGGCGTACTTCCACCTAAAACTTGAAAAGTTAAAGGTAAAAAGAAAAATGTCGGAAAAAAAAGATTTAAATCCTTTTTAACTTTTCTGTGGAGATGAAATAATTTTTCTGTATGATATTTCGTATTATCGACCAACTATACAATATAATACATTTAGAATTTTTATATTTTATTATTTTCAAAATCAACGGTGCACAATTGAGAAGTAAATTTGCAATATCTCCTTTATTTAAAAACATAAAGGAGATAAAGGAGTTAGTAAATTTGCAATATCAATTTTAACCTCCTGTTGATCAATCACACAAGCATGGGGTTAAATATATAGTTTTTTTTCTTTAAAACCCAGTCAACATTGGGCACAAGGGAAAGGCAAATGCTATATATATTGGACGTCCCTAAAGGAGATATTGCCATGAAAGTGACTGCCTCAAATGCTTCTATAATCTCTCAAATAAACCTAACATCACTTTCTTCTTTGTTGAGTCAGATATAACATAACCACATAACAAATAGCTTTTGGTTACTATAATTGTATTTGATGAGACTTTTCTGAAATACTCCATGATGAAAACACGTGTCCTCGGTATTTACCAAAACACTGTTACTAAGATCAAGCACCATCGGCGCATAAAGGCCCTTGCCCCCGAGGTACTCGTCATATAGGATCATGGCATTTCAGTACGAGTTACAACCAACNCCCTTGCCCCCGAGGTACTCGTCATATAAGATCATGGCATTTCAGTACGAGTTACAACCAACACGTAACCTCGGTCTGATATGGTACCTCGGTCGGTATACCTCCCTCGGTTCCGAGATAAGCCTTTCCTCGGTGCCGAGAGGTACCCCGTCCTGGACGCTTCCTCTACTCCAGGATAAGCTATTGACGTACAGGTCATTAGCCTAGGCTAGTCTAGGCTATTCATCATGACCTCGTCTTACACAATTAGTGTCAGAACGTACTGGAATGCAGGGGCCACAGCCAATGGAGGATGGACGCGTGGCGTATGATATCACATCGAAGACAGAGAAACCGCATGCCATTGCTGACACGCGACTTGGGAAAGCAAACGATTAATTACACCATTCCCTTGATGAGACCGCATTCAATGCGGTAAGGCTCGGAAATGAAAGACAATAAATGCTCCTAATACAGAGCATTTATTGCATCCTCCCCGAGAGGAGTACATTGTACCGTCGGCATCCCGATGACCCAACATTAATTGCTCGGGACCCCGAGCAGTTAAGAAGAGAAGACATTCCTCATCAGAATCAGTGCGCACACTGTCTGTACTTAATGATCACCTACTGACTACACTGACATCAATCATGAGCTTTTGATGTATAAATACTCCTTGTAAAAGGCAAGACGGGTATGCAACAAAAAACTCTTTACTACAATACACACTCAGTGTTTTCTCCTTCCTCTCTCTTTCTCAAAGACTGACTAGACCGTCGGAGGGGATACGCCGAAAAACACTCCGGCGCCCTTTTAACTTGTTCTTATTTGTTCCAGAAACCTCTTTCAGCCTTACTGGATCGTTCTTCCGCTCCCCCAGGGTCTCCCGTTGCCGTTCCAGGTTACCACCGGACCTCGCAGGCTGTTCCAAGCAGCGTGGTTGGTCACTCAACTGGCTCACTCGAGTTCACCAAGAGAGAGATCTGTTCTCGTTTTTTATATTGTGCAGGATCTTGCACGCACAGTATCCCCATGACGACACATTTTAATACTTCATGATGAAGTAAATTTGCAAGTTGTCACTAAAGCCACCTCAGTACAACATTGGTATAATAGAGGATTTTTACCTGGAGACCTTTTTAGGGTCTTTTTGCTTTGCTTCGTAGGGAAGATTGATCACATCCTTAGTTTCTATATAGTTGGAGATAATATGTTTTTATTATTTATATACGAGTTAATGGGTTAAACTCAATTTCTTACAATTAAATCTGTTTTTGTTTATTTATTAAATGAATTTAAAAATGAATTAGAACTAAATTATATTCAACCCATTATTAATCTTTCCATTTGTCTCTCCTATTTCACACTAAACAAATCAAACTTTTTTCAAAATAAAATTCTAATGAGTTTTGATTTGATTCTAACTTTAATTTCATCCTTTATATTTCTCTATGGGATAATTACGGATCGTGGTATCGTTTCAGAATTCATAATTTTTTAAAGTTAAGTTATAATTGTTTAACGTGTAAGTCAAGTTAGTGCCATCATTTTTTTGTTTTCAACGGTAAGATACGTTCAGATCAGTTTATACGTATCTCAATTAATCTCTTATGATTTGACTCTAAAGATTATTAAAATTCAAATTTAAGACATTTAAACTTACAACTTCTGTTACCCTTGAGCTACCTTGGTTAGTGCTGTCCTTTATATAGAGGAAACGAGGTCTCAAAAACCGAAATCCACATAGGCACTCTTTAGACTAAAACAAGTCACAGCCATGGCTGCCTCAAAAGTGAGCTTGAAGCTTCTCGTTGACACAAAAAACCACAAAGTACTCTTCGCTGAAGCTGGCAAAGACTTCGTCGATTTCCTCTTCAACCTTCTATCTTTGCCTGTTGGGACTGTCATCAAGCTTCTCACAAAGCAATCCATGGTGGGTAGCCTTGGTAATCTTTACGATAGCATCGAAAACTTGAGCGAAATCTATATGCAACCCAACCAGGACAAGGACTCTGTGTTGAACCCCAAAGTTTTCGCGGCTGGAGCTCCAATTTTTTTGCTCGATATTGTCTCAGTTGTGAAGACCAAGAAGTTCTACAGGTGTTCAAACTACCACAATCACCTATACATTGCCGATGAGCCGGGTGCTGTGTGTCCTAATTGCAGGAATTCTATGTCCTGCGAGGTGCCCTACGTTCCACGGGCGGTGGCGAAGGACAAGGAGGTGGCGGTGGCCGGTGATCAGGGAGGATATGTAAAAGGGGTGGTGACTTATATGGTGACGGATGATCTGGTGGTGCAGCCTATTTCCACCATTTCTATTGTCGCTTTGCTTAAGAAGTTTAATGTTAAGGAAGTTGGTGCTCTTGAGGAGAGGGTTGTACATTTGGGGATGAAAGAGGTATGAATTTGCATATTATACGTACTTGTATTTGTAAGGTACGTGCGTTTGTGTGATATCATGTTAGGTCATTGTCGTGTTTAAGTCATATTGTGGCAAAATTTGCTTAATTATTCATTCTTTGATAGTTTTATAGAAAGTTTATTAGTGGATTTTTTTTATGGTATATAAATTGTGTATAATTAGATTTGTATTATGTGATAATTGTGCTTCTTTCAATACCTTGGTGGTCTAACTTAACTGGCTAATCCAATTATGACTTAAATCGTTAAGATTGATTCTATATCAAAATTCTTTTACATCGGTTTTGTTGGATTGAACAATTGTATGGAGAATTGATAGCCCTATATTCACTTTGCTTTTACTGAGCAATGTTAAGAACTTTGTTGCCCTATTCACTGTTTTTTTGTTGAGCTTGTTTTAATGCAACACTGATGGATCGTGTTAAAAATTGATAAACTATTCTTTGGAGTAAGTTCCGATGAAAAAGTTTAGATTAATACGGTGATGTCTCAAGTTAGATATCCCTACTAGTCAATCTGATGAGTTCTAATTGCATACTTTGAAGATTTGCATAGAGTCTAAAATATAGCTCGTAATTGATATAGCTCTATATTGTAAAAGAAATCTTGGTATCATCGTGTTATGTGATAATGTTTGAGTACTGATATATGATGTGGTTTCTTGTTAGGGTTTGAAGCTGCTGAAGGCATCTTTGAAGTGTAAGATGGTCCTCACCAGAGTCTTCGTAATGGAGACGTTGCCCTAATTATGCTAATCTTCCACCAAAGTATGTATAGCTAAGGCATAAGAGTGAATGAAGTATATATAACTAAGGGTCAAAAAAAATGGTAAATGGTACTTTTTCTTAAAGTTTTTACATTGTTTCTTTAAAGATTAAAAGTCTCAAATTCCATTGTTAAATTTCTTTAAATCGTAGTAATGTGTCTCTTTTCACATTTTGTTAACAACTTTATGCTCTAAATTAGGACAAAAAGAGGCACATTGCTTTCTTGTTAAATGATGAGACGACTTTTAATCTTCTAAGAGACAAAGTGAAAATTTCAAAATCTTTCTAACTAGGGTAAAGTATGAATAGTTCTATGCTTGATAGTGGAATTTGTACGAGATATCTGCCTAGGTTGATTTGGGAGTGGGAAGAGCTGAACCTTTGCAAGAGAAAGGAAAATGGGGGGAAAAAAGGGAAAAAGGAAGAAGGAAAAAGTGAAGAGAAAAGGGGAGGGTTTGTATTGTCTGACATGTGGGGATGTCGGCTTTGTATTGCCCTTTTTTTCTCAAAAGCAATGTTGGTAAAGCTTAGTTAGGGATCTAGTACGAAGACCTAATCTATTGTGATTATTAGATTAATAGTAAATCTCAACATTGAATGAATTTCATTGTTAATTCAATGACTATAATATATTATATTTTCTAATTATCTCCCACAATTATGTACTAGTATATTATTGTTTTGATTTCCCACANAGATTAATAGTAAATCTCAACATTTAATGAATTTCACTGTTAATTCAATGACTATAATATATTATGTTTTCTAATTATCTCCCACAATTATGTACTAGTATATTATTGTTTTGATTTCCCACACTTTTTTTTTACCACCTCTTCTGATATTAATTTACATCTGCTACCTCATGAATTACATTTCTTAATTATAAAATATCAATTTAAATCTTAATTATAAAATTTTTAATTTGTGTAATTTGAATGATTTAAATTAAAAATTATTTATGTTTAAGTTTTTGAACTCGTGTTATGTGATTCAGACTTACAATTCAAGAAAAACAACTCAGAATATGACTCATGTTTAATTCAAGTTGAATTTGTGCAGGACTTAAAAACTAAATATCAAAATTCGAGTGTTGCACGAATTGAATTGAGGTTGAAATTTGTTTACCAAACCCAACTTGTGTATTGTTGGATTTGGGTTGACATACCCAAATTCCACCCCCATCTCCAACATAACAAAGTTCTTGCAAGTTATAGTTTCGTTCCCGAATGAATCCACANACGAATTGAATTGAGGTTGAAATTTGTTTACCAAACCCAACTTGTGTATTGTTGGATTTGGGTTGACATACCCAAATTCCACCCCTATCTCCAACATAACAAAGTTCTTGCAAGTTATAGTTTCGTTCCCGAATGAATCCACATTTCTTAAAAAACTTTTTATTAAAGGTTAAAAAAAAGAAAGCAATTTCAACCAGCCCCTTTTTGTGGATTTCTGCATACAATTATTATTAGCTTAGACCTAGTTATTCTCGACCAATCATTATTTTCTTCCTATTTAAGTTGAACACTTTATTTTAATCTTTTCGTGTATCAGGTATATTACAGATGAAAGAAGCTCATCATCTAAATCATGGAATGACAACTTTTTTAATTCTAGGATCATCATTTCCTTGTATACGTCATGAGTTAAGAAGGTGTAAATAATCGATAAGAAATTCTTATGGGTGTTGTATCCGTGGATATAAACCTCATAAGTCAAACTGAGTATACCAATTCTTCCAACGTTTTTCATTTTTAATCTCTTTTTATATTCCATCCATGTCTCCATATACAAAATTTAACAGTTAATAATATTGATGAGACTAGGGAAAAAAAAAATTTCCTCCCTCCAATTTGTTCTATCATCTTGGAGAGGAACCAAACAAGGGAAAAGAAAGAGTGAAAAGTGATTATTAGAGTTTCTCCTTTAACTTTCACGTACCCAAATCCAAGATCTATGATCATAACTCTACAGAGAGTGCTAGAGAGATAGAGTAACTAAGAATTCTTACAAGTGAGTGCAAGCAAAAGCTCAACTCAAGTATCAATGGCAGAGGCAAATCTGGTTATTGGAGAGAGAAATATCTAGACCTATTTTTTGTGTCTCACCTCCAAGATTCATAAGAATAAGAAGATCTCATTTTTCATACTTGTAAATTTTTTTCATGTTATTATTTAAGTACTTAAAACTAAAGACATTTCACACTTTTTCAATTAACTACGTTTGATAACCAAAATTTTCATCACTTAAAAATTTCAACACTTCTTAAAAATAGACAAAAAATTTAAATAGTTGGTGTTTGATAAAACTGAAACCTAAAGTCTGAAAGCTGAATGCTGATTTTGTGGACTGTTTGATATTCACTGAAATTTAAGTATTAAATTGAACTAAACTATTTGATNGAAGTCTGAAAGCTGAATGTTGATTTCGTGGACTGTTTGATATTCACTGAAATTTAAGTATTAAATTGAACTAAACTATTTGATAATTACACGGAATTGACGTTTAAAAATAAATTAATTTTCAGTTTTATCCTTCCACTATTTAATTTGAAAATAATTATAAAATATGTCATAACATAAATCATAATCACTATTATTATATTGCAGTCTATATTTAACAAATATTTTATCAAAATAAATAAATAAATAACATATGAATAACACCATAAGTGAATAACAACAAATTAAATAACATAATAAGTGAACAATAACATTTGATAAAAAAAATAATAACTAATAAANCCCTTCCACTATTTAATTTGAAAATATTTATAAAATATGTCATAACATAAATCATAATCACTATTATTATATTGCAGTCTATATTTAACAAATATTTTATCAAAATAAATAAATAAATAACATATGAATAACACCATAAGTGAATAATAACAAATTAAATAACATAATAAGTGAACAATAACATTTGATAAAAAAAATAATAACTAATAAATAATCAAATAATATTAAAAAAAGATAATAAATTAGATTTCATTAATAATATGTGTGTGCGTCGTGTGTGTGTGTGTAAGTATGCGTGTGTGCAGTGCATATGTCTGTGTGTAATTGTATGTGTGCAGTGTGTACAATGCGTGCTTTTGTGTGTGTAATTATAATTATGTATGTATATTTTTGTTACAGAAGACCAGAGAATAAAAAAAAAAGGAGATCAACAAAGAGAATATATATGTTAAGAGTTTTGAAAAAAAGACTAATTAGAGTTTTAATAGAATTGTAAAATATTTCGGGACATAATTGTCATATTGTAAATATTATTAAATATGATTTTGCTTACCGTTTTCAGCTTTTAGAATTAAGTAAATGATCTTCTATTNTGTTAAGAGTTTTGAAAAAAAGACTAATTAGAGTTTTAATAGAATTGTAAAATATTTTGGGACATAATTGTCATATTGTAAATATTATTAAATATGATTTTGCTTACCGTTTTCNTGTTACAGAAGACCAGAGAATAAAAAAAAAAGGAGATCAACAAAGAGAATATATAGGTTAAGAGTTTTGAAAAAAAGACTCATTAGAGTTTTAATAGAATTGTAAAATATTTCGGGACATAATTGTCATATTGTAAATATTATTAAATATGATTTTGCTTACCGTTTTCAGCTTTTAGAATTAAGTAAATGATCTTCTACTTAATATTGTAACTTATTTTTAAGGAGTACTTAACATATTACGAGAGTTTAAATTTTTGTTATCAAATGAATTTAATTAATAAGTGTTGAATGCATTTATTTTAAGTGCTGAATTTGGGTTAACAAACACTCCTTTAATCACCTACTTACCACTTAATATTGAATTACTAGTGGATAAAGATTTCATGAACTTTTAATGATAGATCAATTTACCCTACCACAACCACCATCACCACCACCGCACTACTCCCCCAACATCACCGATGGTGGTGGTGGTGGCGGCAGTGGTAGAGAAGTGACAATAGAGAGATGGAGGAAAAAGGCCAAAATAAAAAAATAATAATTTTTAAACTTCAGTTCNCCCAACATCACCGATGGTGGTGGTGGTGGCGGCAGTGGTAGAGAAGTGACAATAGAGAGATGGAGGAAAAAGGCCAAAATAAAAAAATAATAATTTTTAAACTTCAGTTCATTATGTTGGTCAAATAGTTTTAATCAATTCAGAGTTTAAAATTCAGTACATATCAAAAAAAAATTATATTAAAAATTCAACATTCAATACTTAAAATTTAGTATTCAGATTTTAGTACTTAATTTTTAATTTTATCAAATACCACCTTAACACCAGAATTAAATTGTTTCATTGTGACATGGAAGTCAAAGTTCTAGAGTCGCGAAAACCATATCTCCGCGTGCAAGATTAAAATTGTTTATATAGGTAGAATGTAATGAATTATCAAAAAAAAAAAAGGGTAGAATATAATGAAGTAAAGGAGTGGCCCAGTGATGAGGTTTCACTCTCATTTGTAGGTGGTTGTGGATTCCAACCTCATTCATTTTCCACATATGTTATTTGCAGTAGTGTTGGATTGAAATTTGGGATGTTAATCTCAACAAGAGTNCCTCATTCATTTTCCACATATGTTATTTGCAGTAGTGTTGGATTGAAATTTGGGATGTTAATCTCAACAAGAGTATTTACTTCATGGCTCATTATTACATGATGTTAAATTAAAAGGAATATGGGAAGATTGCCTTTGTTTTTAGTTAATTCTAGCAACTTTAGTGTTAATTCTTATTATTATTGTGTGTGCTATTTTTTTTTATTTAAATTGCATTGAGTGTAGTTTTTATCTATCTTTTTGACAAATAAATACACGTAATTTTAGTGTTTTTATTTTTTAAGAGAGAATATATAACTCATCAAAATTGGTAATGCGAAGATATGTATAAAGAGCGATACAAAAGTTGCATGAAATAGTTTTTCACAACATAAAAATTAAACTTACAAATTAAAATATTTTACGTGTAACGTACGTGTGTATCCATTAGTATTCAATAAAAAAATCTTCAACCCAAATTAGAAATAATTCTCTCTCTCTCTCTCTCTCTCTCTCTCTCTCTCTNCAGGTGTTCAAATGAAGCACTAGGACATTGGCCGCCTAAGAGAAACTTCCAAACATCATCTCTGTAAATAAACTAAGGCATCTAAATTCATCACGCCTGGCTTCACAACATTTCCTTTTTTATGGAGAATCATCCCTAGTCAATTAATATTCAGTTTAATGATTACACTATATCAGTAATATCACGTTATGCAATAGGAGCACACTAAATTGGAAAAAATGAATCTCATTGCTTTACATAGTGTAGTTATTAGTTTACGCGAGTAGTTATTAAATTATGAGATCCATTGCTCACTTATTATATTTTTATTAAATGATTATATCATTTGACAATAATAACGTAATGCTATTGTTAAACTTAATATTTATTCGGTGATGTGACGACAGCCACAAAAAGTGTACATGTATGCCAAATTCTACCTGATTTTCTTCAGGCACTTGTGTATGCCTCACAATCCGTATAGTTTTGAATCAAGTCACAGTGAGTCACATGAGA